AAATCTGGTCCGTGTTTTGTACATTTCAGTATTTCCTGTTCGATAGTAATGGTTCTTCTGGCGAAAACCTTCATTTTAGTAGTTGGATTATGTAGATTTTATTCAGTCTCGAGAAATGTTCTAGAGTCGTTCTGCAATCTTGCTACTGCTGAGTCCGGCTGAGCATATACATCAGCATTCACTCAGAGTGCATTTTCTTTAGCCGAGGTAACGTTCACTATTTTCAACTATGCTAAATTTCGTGTTCAGATATCGCTAACGGGAATTCATAGAATGCATTAATTTGTTCTACATACATCAATTTACTGTATATTTTTTCTCGTCTACACATCATGGATAATTTTGTGTAAAATTTTATCATGAAAGGAAGTAGTTTCTATAATCAATGCATCTGAATGATTATTATTGAAACTTAGCTATTTGATCATCGATTTGAAAGATGGCCTACGCACCAAGTAAAATTATTTTGCTTGCCTCATTGTTTGTTGAAATTTCCATCATCCATTGAGGATTTTTATGTGGTAGTTGATGGATCGTTTTGTTTGTTAACCACTAGTAATTTGTGTTATCTGTCATGGTTTGATTGTACTAGTCAAATTTGATTTGGAAATTCATTTTGTGACAATTGTTATATACTAATCCTGATCGGAAAAGATCTTCCAGCTATTTTCTTCCAGCTTCTTCATTTACATCAAAGTACAGTTCAAAGTTGCCATGTTACTATTAATGAAACTCAGTTCCCGGGAACATTAGTGATTAAACAGCGTGTGGGATATACTAGAATTTATTGAACCGACATGAATGGACTTGATTTTATTGCCAAAGCGCAAAGTTAGATTCGTGCCTTGCCTGCAACCAGTTGACCTGAAGAAGCAGAAGCTATATGGAAGCAGCCAGCCTCATATATGCGCGCTTTGATGCCTCGCGTCGGTCGTTTTCAGGGCATGTGTTCATTTTAATAGGATAAACAACATAAGACTGGTGATCTGGTTTATTTTGTAACATTTTGATAATATATGTTCCTCGACCACATTCATTAATAACTGTAATATATAATCTATTAAGTGGATTGGAAAAGTTTGCCTAATTTACATACCTGGAAGAACACAGCTCCCAAATCGAATGACTTATCATTGAATTTAACACGCAGGCGTACTAATGGAGAAGAATTAAACCTTTAGCTCCGGAAGAGTTTTCTGTGTTCCAGACGGTGATGTTGCTTTGTACTCTTCAGTTTCGCCGATCTAATTTCACCTGTTTCCATACCTGCGTTGATTCTTTATCATCAGATTAGATAATAAGAACGCGCGAACGTTGAAGAGGTCTAGACGCTTGTGAGTGTCAAAAAATTTCGGCTACTCGTCTGCAATAAGGAGAGCCTATATGAAACATTGTTGTGTATCGTCTATACTCGGGATTTATACACCGAGCTGCTTACCTGACAACCAAGAGCGTACGCTACTCCGTGTCAGGTCGATATGCGTAGAATTCTTGATGCACACTACACGCCTCGTGACGACCGCTCCACTCGAACATAGAGGGAGTCAGTGTAGCAGCCTCGTGTGTCACGTCTCATGCTATACAACACGTGTTCGAATATTGATGCTTGCGTGTTGTTAGATCACATCCTGCTGCTGCGCCGCCCTCTGTACATATAGATCCTTACTCGTCTGGGTTTAGATGTCTCATCACGTGTATCTATTTCTCAATGAGTGACGCTATTCAAACGTCTTTCTTCATTGTTGCGTTTAAACGAATACTCGTGATTTGATTCTTGAGCACTAAATTGTACGTCCAATCTTAGAACATTCAATATGCAGTTTTCGACTTTCGTTTCAAGTTGTTCGTTATGAACTGTGAAAATAGTAGGAGTTGGTAGCAGAGTCGTTCCGGTTCGTTTAATGTTACTTTGTTTGCGAGTGCGTCATCTTCATGTTTTCTATCAATCCGCTATTATATTTTGTTAATAGTTTCTTTTTTCGGCGCTTTCTTCCTTCTGTGTGATTCCTGATACAAGCATTACCTGTGATGCTTGTGCTTGGCCGTGTCTGGTCTACTTACTGAGAATTGTAATCAGTTTTTTTTGTAATACCCTCACTTAATGATACAATTCGTTCAAAATCGTACAGTTAGTTTCGTCTGCCTTTCTTCTTATTCCTCTACTGGGATTCATGCGTGTCCTCTGACTGCGTGCCCGTGAAAATGAACGTATTTTCTCATCTTCTGCCGGTCTCGCCCGTCTTCCTCCTGCGCAGTTTTTGCGCCGCGTCGCTGCTCGCTGGCGTGTTTTGTTGCTTGCGACTTCACTCGCGCCGGCGTTTCTGTCCGTACGTCTTTTCTTTTCAAGAAGCGCCCCCGAACTCTTCTATGAATACCTGCTATTGTTGGAAGCCCTATAACGTTTTAGAAGCTGTCCTCAACAGTCAATTCAAAACGCCAGGGCTGTCAATATTATTTGACAATTTAATTGAAACACTGTGCTTAAATTATTTGAATGTGAACAATAAGCATGTATTTTAGCATTCATTAACAAGCTCACGTATATTATAACTATTAATTCTATCTCTCAATATTATTTGGCTTTAAATGAGCTCTTTCATTTTTCACATTTTACCACGTTTGTCATTTTCGAGCTTTTAATAATTTAAATCTTGGTGTCACACATTGCATTGTCATATCACAAATTAAGTTTTTCAAGAATTCTAGTTTGTTTGATACGGGCGCAATTTGTACAATTGGCTGTGGAATTATTCTTTGCACTCGAAAATCTTTTGTTGAGTGTGAACATTTCATTGGAAAACTTTGAGCAGTGTATATATCTCTGTTGCCGCCTATTGGCTGCTAAAATAAAGATAAAATTTATTTACTTTCCTTATTGTTCATCTGGCATAGACCAGATCGACTTCCTTTATAAAGCAATTATCGAGCAACTATCACTCATCACCAAACTACAGCATCTTAGCCGCGGTGTGCGGCGCACTGTTTTAGGTGTACCAGTTGTTTTAGGTGTACCTACCAGTTGTTTAGGTGTACCAGTTGTTTTAGGTGTACCAGTTGTTTTAGGTGTACCTACCAGTTGTTTAGGTGTACCAGTTGTTTTAGATGTGCCAGTTGTTTTACATGTGCCAGTTGTTTTAGCCTTTTAGGTGTGTATATACCAGTTGTTTTAGGTGTACCAGTTGTTCTAGGGTTTACTGGCATCTCGAGTGCATGCGGCAGTTCAGTGCATAGAGGAAACGCTCTCCTAGTTACCTGTTTCATCGGATGTGCCTGATGTTGCGGTGCATCCAGACGCCCTCTCGGCAATCAGTCATGCGAGTATGAAGCTCTGATCTTTGAACAAGGCAGGGATCATATTATTCGCGTTAATTTTGAGCTATATTCGGTATGCATCACAGTTTTGCATCATGCACGTAATGCCGTACTAATGATATTTATTATATAAATACGTTTTATTTATACCATTTTTCTAAAACTAGTAGGTTTAAATTGAATTGAAGCGTACGGTATATATACTAATTCATATGGAATATTTTTGAAAACATTATATTTATGCCACTGTGTCATGCAATGTTTCATTACTTCAGCTAACTTAATCATCCAGTTGTGGTATCGCAAATATCTCTTGGCAAATATTGAGGGGCTTCGTCTTCACTTTCCAATACTCCTCCATTGTCTGGAATTATTTTAACTTTTTGACAAATATCGTAGATGCAATGATTTGTCTTTTAGACATAATCAGGGTTTTTTTTTGCTGTGTGCATTTGTTAGCGATCTGTTTATTGTTTTAGAAACATGATCAATAAATATTTATGTGTACTTATGTGCGTGTCAAACTTTGATTTTATCACGAAATTTATTTATTTTCTCGCTAAAGAGTTGATGTATTTTCTTGGAAAGGAGTGACGAGACTGGCTCGTTTTTTATGTACTCAATTCTTCCGTTGTGAATGGTATGTATAGAATTTTATACTTCTAAGATTCTTCAATGTCTTCACTGGCACCTATTATACCAATTTCTGGCTCGACATATCATACAACTCTTGCAAAGTTAGTTAACTTGCTTCCCTGTTGCCGAAGCTAAGACTTTAAATTCCAGCTTAATAAGGTACACACAGCGAGCAAGTGTGGTCGAAATTTTCACAAAATGCATCAGTTTGTCTCGCACAAATAAAAAACAAAGTTCGGTGTACTATCGCGATTATTTATTCGCGTAGGAAACTCGAAAGGATCAGTCACCAGCGACTGGCTCGCGAAAAAAGTGGGTGCATCACCGTGTTGACAACCCGACTGAATCAGTAACCAGCGACTGCGACTGCCATCAGTCCGTAAACTCTACACTATAGCCGTATAGCGTGATGCTGTCGTCACTGCCGCGTCTGGTCTAGCGATCATTCTTTAACACGTTTCTTCTATCTCGCGCCGCTGTAATGGAGACCCAGGCGAAGGTCGCTGCCCTGCACCTCAATCCCGGTCTTTCTTCTCATACTTTTTCTTTTCTCACGTTTACGTACATGACAAACTATGGTAATAATGATTTGATTTCACATGACGTTTTTAATCATTGCTCACTGCTGGTGTTCGTGACTGACCTTTGCCGTGCTTCTTTCGTCGTGTTAGGATAAGTTACCTATGTCTATATCTGAATTACGGGTAGGACGGCCTTTTCCTTTCTTCCAGCGTCTTCACTTAGGTTACTTATCTTAGTAATTCTTCATTTCATCTGCTTTCTTAACCCACCGTAGTAATAGCATTCAAAGACAATTTCTTGTGATTGTGTATCTGATGTGACATTGTGATTGCTCTCCGTACATTTTTCTCGGCACTAATAAAGCTGCTGTTTATTTTCTCTTTCTTATCAATGGTCTTCGGATTTTACGTTTTATAGAAAATGTAAGAATTAGAAAACGTTAGCGACGCTCCAATCGTATTCATTCATCAATTAAACATGTAACTTTTGCTGTTGAAGCGTGACTATTTACGTAATTATTTTTTGTGCAGGAATGCCTCTGCAGTCATTGTAGCCTCGAGCTTCCCGCTATTTTCATTGCGGCTTCGTTCTCATCATACAAGACGACTTCTGATCTCGCTTCTGCCGTGCTGGCTCATCCTGTGAAGTACTCAAGCCCCTTGTCTCCACGCGTGGAATACTGCAATATATCGCCAAAAAAATGATAATCCAACTTATATAAAATGTTTATACAATGTCAATATAAGTTTTAAAACACTCGTAATTCGCAGCTACACTCGGCGTATATTTAGAAGGCCCTGAAAGTCTCGGTTAGTACTGCAACCCAGCAACCATGCCTGCTAAAGTGAAGAAGACCAAGAAGAAGAGGCGCATGACAGGCCTGCTGGCGTGTCTGGGTGGATGCGGCGGCAAGATGCCACGGGATGACTTCGAAGATATCACCACGCTCGACTTCAGACACTTTTCACTCACGGAGGTCAGTTTAATGGCATTGCTTTGCCAGCAGACGTAGTTCCTTGACCAAAATACTCCACATGAGTGCTTTTATATTTTGAATTTATCACGCTTTCCTTTTCCGACGATGGCCTAGTTAAATTGTTGTCACTTTTCTAATGCGAAATTGATGCCATTGTCGACTGATTTATTCTACGGTGAGAATTTTATTCTAGATTAATGTCAAATTATTTCACTTAGGGTGCTTCTGTACGCACTTAGACGTTAACTATATGAAAAAAGACAAGTAAATCGAGTGTAGAGTTAACCAAACGCTGGTGTTCGTGCAGGTGCCGTCAGACGTGTTTGCTTGTGAGCGAACCCTCGAAACGCTCTACCTTGACAGCAACCAGGTATGCTCATCCTCTTTCATGCTATTGGGACAATTTCATGCTAGTTTATAACTTTCAATAACTAGGCATTTTCAAAAGTACTTGTATTAGTAGTATTTATTGATTATATTCTTGTAAAATACTGAATTAGAGCATTTAAAATCTCTCGTTATTTCCATACACGGGTATTACCATATCGTGTGTTGCAGTTATCGGAGCTGCCACGGGAGCTGTTCCTGTGCCACGGTCTGCGCGAGCTGAGCGTGAGTGACAACGAGCTGTCGAGCGTGCCTGCTGCTGTGGCCAATCTGCCCGTCCTCGCCTCTTTGGACATAAGCAAAAACAGTGAGATGGCGCCTGAGTAATTGTTTATTCCAATCTTTGTATAGTGAAACGCTACTTATTATAGGTAAATTTGTTTACTAAGAAGGCTTGACGCTTCGTTGGCGGACTCATTTTAGCGCATTTTCTCATTTATGGAAAAAATGCACTATTGTGCTCGCCATGTCCGTCTGTCTGTCCGTCCGTCTGTCCGTCCGTTCGTGACCTCAAGTTTTCGTCGACGAGAAAATGCGCTCTCTGTCACTCACTGCAGGGAGTACTGAATTATATTTTTTACAACACTTCTGATTTGGGAAAGCTGGAGGCTTACTCCGCTATTTAGCACGTACTCTACTGTAACTCTGGTTACTAGGCTAATGTTACAGTATGCAGAGCTTTAATACAGTAATACGTCGTCAGATTTGAGCAACATCCCTGAGAGCATCAAGAGCTGTCGGGAGCTGGCTCGTGTGAACGTCTCAGTGAACCCGCTGTGCAAGCTGCCTGAGGGTTTCACGCAACTCATCGCTCTCAAGGAACTCTACCTTAACGATACTTTCCTCGTAAGGACAATTGTCATAATTATTATTTATCATTATCATCAATTGTTGTAATTATTATTTCTCATTATCATCAATTGTTGTAATTATTATTTATCAATTATTTGTCAATTATTATTTATCATCGCCCTCGAGGAAGTCTACCTTAATGATACTTTCCTCGGAAGGACAATTTTGATAATTATTATTTATCATTTATCATCAATTGTTATTGGTAATTATTATTTATCATTTATCATCAATTGTTATAATTATTATTTATCATTTATCAATTATTATTTATAATCGCTCTCAAGGAACTCTACCTTAACGATACTTTCCTCGTAAGGAGCGCTTCATGTAAGCAATCTTTTGATTTAGTGTCAAACTCTTGGACAGTAAATATTTTTTCGTATGAAATTATTATTTCTGATTTAGTGTTCAACAATCAATTTTGGAATTTTATTTTCGGGGGGTAATTGACTAACCAATAGTGGAAGAACGCCTAGACTTGACATAATTGAATAGTGGTCTTTTTAAATCGGTTTTCCTATGGTGATACATTTAATATGATTCGTGCTATTCATTCTTTAATTCCTTTGTTACTTTCTATAAGCATTAAAGTGCTTAATACTTAGTAAGTTATGCTAATTTTATTCATAGAAGACTTTCGTAGAATTTCTTGGTATAATTTCGTAATTTTTATTGATGATTACTATCGTGATCATTCAGGAGTTCTTACCTGCGAACTTTGGTCGGCTGGTGAGCTTGGAGGTGCTGGAGCTGCGAGAGAACCAACTTAATACACTGCCTAAAAGTCTTGCCAGGCTCACCAAACTACGAACTCTGGACATTGGCAACAACGAGTTCTCACAGCTGGTTAGTTATTGCTTGAACTTGGAGTACTTTCAATCCATCACACAGCTTAAGTTTGAAGAAGAAACACGATAGATGTATGTATTTGGAAAAATTTAACTGAAGAATTAATTTATTTTTCAATAAATTCCATTTTCGTTAGCCGGAAGTGGTGGGTTCGCTTGCGAGTCTCCAGGAGCTTTGGTTCGACAGCAACAAAGTGCGCTGCATTGCGCCCTTCCTGGGCCAGCTGAGCGAGCTCACCTACCTCGACGGCTCCAGCAACAGAATCGACAGCCTGCCTGATGACATACAAAACTGCAAGAAACTTACAGATCTTCACCTCTCAGAGAATCATCTCAAGGTCTGTGCAGCAAGTAGCATTGCAAGAGAAATGACCAAATGTCTGCAAAGATGATTGTCTGCGTTTAAGATGAAAATTGCGGATTTAGACACATTAAATTGGCTTCTCATTGTCAGATCAAGATGCGAATTACAAGAAATTGCCTAACATTTGTGCACGTTTTGAATTTTTTATTCTTGATCAAGCGGTGATGGAGACATGAATGCTAAATCATTTTGAACGAAATTCACCTCTGATCAATCACGTTCCAACTACCTAAGATTTTTTGAATGGCCTGTTGAAAATGCTATGGCTCCTGTGGAGTTCGTTCCTTCAGTGATGACTGCATAATGTATGTATCAGAAGTTTCTCATTGCTCATACCGTGCACAGACCATACCGGACACTCTGTGCGAGTGTAGCAGCCTCGAGGTGCTGCGGCTGGACGACAATGCCTTGTCTTGCCTGCCCAGCAACATCGGCAGCCTCAGCCGCCTCACCGAACTCGTCGTCACTAAAAATGATATCGAGGTTTGTGCCTCAATGAAACTTCGTTAACCTTCATGTACCATTGAATTTTTTCTGTGATAGCTAAAAAATCATCAGCAGACCGTGGAAGTTACTATAATACAATTGAGTTGAGGATAGTACTTAATGTTGAAATGGTACCTATAGATATTAAATTTTACTTTCATTGTAAGAATTTTTTCTAGTGGTCCAGTTAGCTTGTGTCGATTTTTTTTTGGTTGTAACATATTTGTTGCGCCCTGCACAGGAACTGCCACCGTCAGTGGGCCTGCTCCGTAGCCTGCACACTCTGCATGCAGACGACAACATGTTGGAGTCAGTGCCGAGTGAGCTTGGCTCCTGCAGTCGTCTGGCCGTACTCACACTCGCCTCCAACAAACTGCAGGCGCTGCCTCCTGAAATTGGACACCTCAGCACCCTCAGAGTCCTGAACGTGTGCGACAACAGCATCAGGAACCTGCCTGTGTCTTTCTCTAAACTCAAGGTGAGGTCCAATTATAATAATAATGGTGCATTAAAGGAGTGAATACGACAGAATTTAGGTGATGGATGAAATTGAGACATATGTCATGAAACTGAGCAATGACGCAGCCTAAAAAATTAGGAATTGTTTTACATTTTCTACTCGCACCGCTCCTATATAGAGACGCAACGTTGCATCTCTTTGAGGAATCGTTTCTTTTTCCTAGTAATGGAAAGATCAGGCAAGATGCTTACTCTCTTGATTGCACCCATACTGAAAGGGATGAAATAATTTTAGTTACTGTTGAATTTATGATTATTTGCTCCTGTCAATCTTATTTCCGGTAGATTATCTTTGAACTTAAGAAATTTATTTCAGGCGAAACTTGATTTTTAGCATGTACAAATTAAAATTATAGACGCCCTTTTGAGTTTTGTCTCTCTGGGCTCCTTCATCCACCTTTCGGATCGTCTCGTCAACCTCCAAGACTCGAAAGATCGCCGTTCTATACACACAAACACCAATTGAACTTAGCTTGTACTGATCTGGTTAGCTAAATTGAAATGAATTTTGGTATTATAAGTGAGAGGATTCAGTGTGTCTATATCAGATTTGTTTCGTCTGCAGTTGCGTGCGCTGTGGTTATCAGACAACCAAGCCAAGCCGAGCGTGCAGCTACAGACGGAGACGGATCCTACGACGGGACAGAAGGTCCTGACGTGCTTCATGTTACCTCAGCATCCCAGCCAGCGTGAGACAGGTGAGGCAGTTCATTTGTTGGTAGTCCTATTGGTGTTGTGGTGAGTCGTGGGGAAACTAATATGCCTTTGATTATCATGTTTAAGGGGAATTGACGTACTGTTTGCTGTCAGACATAATGTGGGAAATTCGGTAAGCGGCTGTTAGTCTAGTGTTGAATTATGATGCCCTTCCTCGTTTGGATCTCGAGTTATTTTCCAATTTTATTTTCTTCGCAAGTTCATGTCATGCTAATAAATCTTTTTAATCTATTGATATTTAACCAATGTCCTAATGAGACAATTCTATTCCAGAATCTGAAAAGAAGAAGGACGAAGAGCCTTTCCCCATGGCGACGTGGGAGGAGAAGCACAGAGCTCGCAGCCTCATCAAGTTCTCGTTCGATGAAAACGAACTCAAGACCGGGGCCAAGTTATCACGCGCCCCCACGCCTTATCCTAAAGGTCTGTCCAAACAAACGCCAGACTGGGGCAAGTTTGTTCAGTAAAGTAATGTAGCAGAAGTTAAGGATGGGTAATATACGGTAGTCTTAGTCGGTTGGGGGCACTAGAAGAACAGCTAAGATCCATTTTTTTTTGTCCTGCGACAAACATAGCGTAATTTTAAACAGTGATAAATGAACTTGGAACCGTTGCATGACCTTCTTTTTAGGTCTGTTATGCAATTGTATTAACTTTCTCTGCTCTGAGATTTACTCTCCTTCATGTGTTGTATGTATTCTGTTTGCTACGAGAATTTGTTTCACTTCGGAAAATTTTCATTTACCTTCGGACGATGATTGCAGAGCTACGCGCGCTTGCGAAGCATGCGAAGTCGGTGGTTGCAGGCAGCAAGGCCCTTGAGGGGGAGGTGGTGCTGGGGCGTCGAGCCTCCCACGACCCCGACGTGGCGTCCAAAAAGCCTGGCGCCCTGGCGGAGGACAACAAGAGGAAGAGCGCGCCGTGCGTGCTCACGCCGTCTGCTCAACGCCAGCAGGAGAGCTCAGCTGTCACGGCGCAGTATCATGCTGCTGTCGCTGACAAGGTACCTCGTGTCTCACGTGTACAACTTCGTGTTGTGATAAAGTATCGCTCAGAATCATTAAATAGATCGATGTCAATTATAGACTAACTAAATTACCGTTTTGGTTAATCTTGAAGTGAAAAAAATGACCCTTCCTTTTTGGTTTCGAAACTTATTATGAATTGGAAGAAGTTTGTTACTGGATTTTCACCCTTTTAAAATCTTTTACAATCCGTTTGTGATACAGAAACTGCGGGTAGGAAGAATGAAGGCGGATAGGAGAAGAAAGTATATCAATTGAACAAAGCTTACAACCGTTGTACATGCTAGGAACCTGCTCCCTTGGGCGGAAAACTCCTCCTTGATCCCTGTTTTCTATCGCATTGTTACGTCTTAGAAACGATAGAATCTGCTCGCCTTTGATTGTGTGGATTTTAAAATTGAAAGTACATTAATACTAATACAATTTTTTCCAGACTTCTGTGGACATCAACGATGCTGTTGTAAAGACGGCTAATAAAACGGTAAATTCATTAGTTTGGGATATTAGTTAAGAATTGCCTGAATTTATTTAATTGTACTTGAAGGTTCAAACTATTGATCTTGTCTGAACGCCTAGAATCAGATTCATGCCTCGCCTCTCACTTCCGTATTCAACATAAATCATCTTCTGCTATTTCATTTCTATTCATACCGAGTCCCTCAGTTGATGACTTGTTATTAAGAGCTAGGGAGAAACAACAGAACGACTGTCAACAGTTTGTACTAAATTAAATCGTACTAATTAGTAATTAAATTGTAATTAATTACTAAATTGTACTTTCATCGACATTACTTCGATTATAAGTTATCAGTTTTTCAACTTAAGTTGACTTAAGACTCAATAACAGTTAACTTTTTAAAGATACTTACATTAAATTTAGTGCGAATCGGAACTTTATTTGTGACTACGTATGAAAGGTAATAAGTGATTGGTATCACCCTCAGAAATTTGTGATTGATGTCAACATCAATAGAATTGAATTACTTGTGAAATATCTTTACTATGATCTATGCTCGAGAACTTCCTAAACACCGTCAAATTAACTCGCTTCAAAACGCCCCAGTCTATGCACCCAGTGCACGATGGCAGCAAACTCTTATGTTTGTTTTGGTTGCTAGAGCCCCAGCAGCGTGATGGAGACAACCGCCGCCGCGTCCTCTGCCTTCCCTAAAGACGGCTTCGTGCCGGCCGCGGCAGGGCACGAAGAACACAAAGAGGGTCGCACTACAATACAATCACAGGTGAGAGACTTGATCTGTTATAATTGTTATAATTGTGGAATGGTTTCATATTGATTCGAACACGGCCATCTTTTGTTAATTTGCAACTAGATTTTCTTCTGTATTCGTCGAGCTGAAAATCGCTGTTTTTTTTTGTATGGTGCATTCGGTTGACCATGAGAGCTGAAAACGAGCATTTTCAGTTTGGGTGATAGGAGGGATATAGGCCAAGGGCTTTAATTCCTCACCAAGGACTGTACTTCTAAATATCATCAAATGTTTCTAATTTGTGTGATACTTGATTGACATTTAATTTCTTTTTTTAACCTACCCCTAGAATGAGCTTTGCTATTTATCAGTACTGGAGTAATATAACTTTTTTCTTCAATGGCAGACTTCAGCGGATACGAATCAGGCTCTTGCATCTGCCCGAGGCTCATGTTCCCCCGTGTCAACGCTGAATAATCGCGTCACTGCGTCCTCGGTTCCAAGCACGACTCCGGAGCTATCGTCTCCCGTTACTTCGTCTCCTTCAAAGGCTGCCTTGTCAATTGGCTTATCGGCCGTGACCGCCACCTCCTCGACTTCGGTCGTCACGCTATCTAAAGCCTCGTCTGTGACGACCAGTCCGAGTCATGACATGAGCGACGATGACGCGACGGCTGACGTGCTCGCCGAGGCCCTGGAGCTCGCAGACCGTGTAGCTGAGGCTCCTTACAAGGCAAGACGCGGGGCTGCTGGTGTTATTTTGTGCTATTGTTGTTGCTTTCTCACCGCACTATGTAATGGCATGAATTAACTATTGTAGTCTCCTGAATAATATATGATAACTTATAGCTTTGAAGAATAAAATCCTTTAAAATGCGAATGAAAGACATAAAGTCGTTCATCAATTCACAAATGCTAGTTGGAATTTGGTTTAGAATTTCTAACTTTGGCCCAGTTTTATCGGTATTATTTCAAGACTTCCTCTGTTTGCGGCTGTTGGCACCTAGTATCAAACCCGCATTCTTAGTGTATATTACCGGTATAGCCGTAGTTGACAAAGACCGGGCATAAAATTAATTATTTATAGTTTCAATGAGATAATCTCTTATCGATAATTCCCTCCAAAATTTAAATTAAGCAGTGCAAAACAAAAATCTACTTCTTGCCGTTATTGCTCGAAGTGAAATAAGAGATTTTCTGTATTCAGAACTCTGCCACCGAGGATGCCGCAGATCAGAGCAGCACAGACAGCGGCTACTGCAGACCTTCTCACCCGACGAGTTCTCAGTGCGGTGAGTCTAGCATAAGTTCTTACCCTTAGGTGGCTTAGACATCTCAGTTACAAATTAGGGTGACGAAAAGAAGACACTTCAAAATTAAAATTGAGCGTTCTCACCGAGCGAGTTACAGATACTTTTTGTTAAAATTGTGATGAGATGAATGAGTTAATGATAATTATGATATCGATATTATTTGATTTTATATTTCATTTTCGAATTCTCGTGATAGCCTTGATTAGTTACATCATTAGTAACGCTAAATAATTTCTCTAGTTACTTTTGCGCGATTCGGGACAGCAGTAATTTATCCATCTCAGTGAAGTTCTCACTGTATTTACTGCAGACCTGAGCGACCAGAGCAGCGAGCTGATCTCGCCCACTCCGTCGCTGCCGTCCGAGACTGTCAGTCCGAAGTACTCAGGCAGCCGACACGGCAGCTTGTCTCGTGCTTCTCCTGCTCTTAGTTATGAGGGCTCCCCTGCGCACTCTCAGCAACCAAACATTGTTAATCCTAACGTGCATCATGGTCTAGCTTCGTCAGCTTATACCGTGAACTTGCCTGCTAATCCTCCCTCATCACAGTTCAAGACGGTTCCCTCTCCATCTTCTGTAATGCCACTCTACCCTGCCATGTCACCCCATGAATTGCCCCTGAAATCTCCTGCCATTGTATCTAGCTCAGCCCTTCAAGACCCGACCGCCGCTTCAACAAACATTGACGGTAGTTCTTGGTCCAGTAGTAGGACCACCTCGCAGCTTGGGGAAGTTCCAGAAGAGCTTCCGACATTGCCGGTGATAGGCTCCCCGCACCGTTCAGGCCAGGTGCCCTGTCAGCCGCGCCCTGGGTCCTTGGCCCTCGCCAGTCTCGCTGACAGCGGGGTACTGAGTGACCGCGCGGGATATCTTGCTCGTCCAGGTTCTTTGGCGGCGCCATGCAACACGTTGGGCATTCCTCCAGCTCCTCCTACTCGTGCCGTGTCGGCAGCCACAGGACTTAATCATACTAACCGACCTCCTAGTGAATATGACTCGGCCAACACTGCTAGATCTCCACATTCCAGTGAACTTCACTCGCCGGCGCACCACTTTGCCAGTTCGGTGTCAAGTAGCCCTTATGCTCCAGTAATTGGTTCCAAGATACCGAGTAACACAAGTACACATCGATATGGCGACTGTACTTCTCCACCAAACGCTGGATACTCAGTTTCATCCGGCGCCAGCCGTGGCAAGCAATCGGCATCTCGTATTCCCACGAATAGACAATCGTCGTCCACGTTAGTTGGAGGCTCGAATGACACTTCCAGAATTCCGTCTTATAATTCACCCCACATTGCAAAATCTGCGAATGATGGCTCTAAAATCGCTCACCCAGGAAACTTTGGAGGCGCTGTGGGCATTCAGTCTCACGCGTCTGCTGGTCGGAGTTACAGCAGCCTCAGTACAAAATCTAATATTTCGTATACTTCATCATCAGGTGAACAGCACTTGTATAGAAATACACCCGCCGATTCCCGTCTCCCTGTCGATAAAGAATCGCGTATTCCATCGGTTTTAGACGTTCACCTCAGCAATGGCAATCGAGGGCCTCATGTTCCGTCTGCTCCTGGTAGTCGCATTTACTCTCCCTCTGCAACATCCCCTCCTGCAGCTTCTCCCCATCCGATGTCCCCTCCTGCAGCTTCCCAGCACCAGATATCGGGTACGCCTGGTACTCGGAGTGGCACCGGTATCCCGATGCCGGGCTTTACTCGATCCAACAGCGGCACGAAGCTGAAGGACGCTCGTGGCACCGCTGCTAACGTGGATAAATCTGGCATTGCTACGAACGGTGGCAGCAAATCTCACTTGCCTCTCTCTCCTAATTCATCCTTCGACTCAGGCTACAGAGCGGCTCCTCTCAGTAGAATACCCAGTGTTGGGTGAGTTGGGTTTTTTGTCGAACCATTATTGGCTCTGATTCTAATGAAATTTTGATGTTTTACACTTTTACTATTGTGGAAGGTTTGCGTATAAGTGTACATTTTGATTTCCTATTGTGTATTCAAGGGCGCATTGTAATTAAATCAATTTAGTTTATTCCATACATGTCGCGCACTCTGAAATTACAGTAATGAACACCAAGGCTTACTAGTATTTCTTGAAGCTCACGTAAAGGACTCGTTCTTTGCTCGACAATATCGTACTGTGGGCTTAATTCGGTCGGATCTCACTTTAATCATTAAATGATGCTTCTACTTGACCTCACTATCTTCATCAAAGAAGGTTTTATTTTAATAAAGATTATTACGAGCTGAGGATGATGAACGAGCTTTTATGAACGAGCTTTAATACTATCATTAATGATTTTTTTGGTGTGAACAAATTTCTCCGCTTTTGGAAAATAGTGTTATTGCTGATCTTTTAGTTGACAGTTTTTGATGAAATTCTTGTTGTTCAGGAGCTACAGCGTTACGGGTGCTCCGCTGTCCCCCGTAAACGAGGCCATCAACACCTCGGGCTTGCCGCCCCCACCGCCGTCAGCAGAGCGACCGAGCGGCCTCCAGCAGCCCAAGATCTCCTCGAGGATTCCTCAGATGGGAGCTCCTGTCGCTGCGTCAGGTTAGCCTTCGAATCCTACTGGGAATTACATAGCAGCAATGTCATCTGATCTGGGAATGTCATCTGATCTGGGAATGTCATCTGATCTGGGAATGTCATCTGATTTCATCCCTGATTTCAGAATCTCTCCTAAAAATTGCAATCCACGACTACAATAATTTTCTTCATTCATGAATCCTAAACGCAAATTCGGATTTAGGAAGAGTATACAAAATCGTAATTAACACCCTTGTGGCTCTTGAAATATTATTGATGTTACTAAAATAATAATTCTACTAGTGATCAAAAAGTTGATGGAAATCGATATTGCGTATTTTGTTCGAGGATCCCTAACAGGTACAGCCATCCAGCCTGAAAATTAATAGCTGTTCGATGATTTTAAGGCGAATTTGCCGACTCAATCTTAATACATCGCAAGTGTAGTGTCTTTGAGTCGTTATTGTTTGCCTGTGAATATTAAGAGAGATTGCATGTTGTAAATTTTGGTTATTGAGTTGCATATCTATCGCTCTTTCCTGTAGTAAGAAACTTGTATAGTTTGTATAATCTTGCAAATTTCTCTTTTTTCTTTGTAAGAAAAAAAATGGGATCAGTGGTTTATCTCTCTTACTTTTAGTCTTTTTTTTTTGAGTTTTCGTAGACGTTGGAAGGGGTTTGATTGAGGTGTGCACTTAAGTCCACGAGCATTTGTTATTCTCATGAACCGAATAGTAAGTTTTTTTTGTCATGGTTATTTATTTAAGACTTCAATTATATTTTTGCTTGATTTGCGTTTGCTGCAGGCTTTGTATAGCACTTAAGAGCTCAAATGTGCCAAGTATACAAGCAGCTTTTAAAAGCTGTGAGTCGTTCACTTCATACGTGAACGACTCACTTTAGCTACGCAGCGTGCTTCACACATGAGCTTAAATTATGATACACCGGCAGGTTAACCCGGCGTTGCTCGGGATGGATTATCTCAGCGATTCGAAATACCTTTATCTTGCTTAAAGGATTCTGTCTCAGAGATTATAATTATTTCGAATTGCGCATCCGGTTAATAATTTCGGAACTAAAGAACGATGTTGAAGAAATGCCCCTTTTTAGTCAACATATATCGACCTCCATTTGACTCTTTGTTTGACTGGGGAAAGAAATTCAAATTATTTAGCACACATAAATTGTACGTTTTCATAATCACCACTTTATAATTAGTCCATAACCTGTCATGAAATGGCTTTCAATTCAATCTTTTGAATTGGAATATCGCGGCACTTCAGGCATCGCGGAGACGTGCGCGAACAGCCCTTGTGTGTTTGTAGTGCCAGGGTCCACGTACACATACTTCTATAAAAAATGTACAAGATTTCGCGAACTTGCATGCTGTGCGATTGTTTTTAAGTCTGAATTTTCAAAGGTTATTTCAACCCCATGGGAAATTGTTGAAATAATTTGGAAGGCCGAGCTCGCGGTGTTTGCTTGTGCTCAGCTTTGACCCACCACAGGCCAGAGGGGGGCCAGAAGCCCCCCCAGCACAGGAGACCAGGGTCCTCCGTCAGCTCATCCACCCAGCAAAGCTCGGTCCCCGGGCTCGGGCTGGATGTTCGGCAGCCACCAGAATGCCCGCGTGGTATGTCAGCTGTAGCTGCCCGCTACCTTGTTTGGTTTATTGCCCATTTCTTCCTGACTTGTTCTGCCCCGTTTAGTGTCGGCCTTCGTTAATTCACCGTCATGGTTTCCTTCAGCAAGCTAACTAGTGACGTATATTTCAATGATAATTTCCCAATATTAACAACTTTCCAAATCCCCTGCTTCTCTTGCAATTCTTGCTTCCTTTTGATCAATTTTTCTTACACAAGTTCATTTTTTTAATTTATTTTCGTTCCATTCTTTTGATACCGACAATTTCGGCTGTCGCTGAGCCGTGATCATGCGTGCTTATCAACAACATGTCACCGCTGATGTCAACATGTCCTTACCTTCGTTGGCAGCTGGTATTCTAACCATGTTTACAGGCGGTCCATCGCTGTGGTGATAATGTGAACTTTGCTTTGCATCTTAATAGTTACTTAACTTTGTTGGGAGTTTGGGTTCAACTAATTACATCTCATTATTAACTGTTATTTTGGTTGTCATTAATACTCATGATTGTTGTCATGAGTATTTCCTCAACATGGAGCATTCCAATGGGATTCGTTTTCTTATTTGTTGTTGTTGTTTGAATTAGATATAATTTATAACTTCCCACATTTTTTATGAGATATTTTTTCTCATTCTTTAAGCATTCCATGATATTTCTCTTTTAATTTCATCGTGCGTCTTTTGTCTTATAGTATTCGTCTTGAGTTTTTTGATCAATCGAGAGACCCAAAATTCTCGTCGCCTTCATATTCCTTTCACAGAGAGATGATGTTGAATTTTTATACAATTATAGAAATAATAAGTTAGCTTTACTCACTAAAATTGAAAAATAACTAGTTATTATAGACAGCCCCGATGGCTGGGCTCTCCACCGCTAACGCTGATCGCTCATCTAAACTCAAACTTAATTTATTATTGCCACTTCTCGACTTATTGGGTCGACACCATGGACACTAGAAGTCGTGTCTGCGGAACTGATCCTGAACTTTATTATTTGCATCTGGTCTTCGCTTGTACAACTTTTAATTAATAGTACTTATTGTTAGAGCTTTGAAAGTACTCTACGGTGTAAAATTTTCGTCATAGCCCCTAACGTACTTTCAAATGAATTGTTCCTTGGATATTTTAATTAGGTTTTTCCGGTGATCCCGGTCTGAGTAAAGTTCGCAATCTAGCTTCCATTCACAACTGTTCTCAATAAACTTGCAGACGTTTTTTTTATAACCACGACCAGAGTTCCATTTGCAGTTATATGCAAAGCCGAAATATTCGAATAAGCTTACGAAGCAACTACGATTTTTGAAAGTATTCAACATAATTGATATTGTTGAACGATATTCATTTTTGATGTGCACTCGAGTTTTCACGGTCACTCACTTACTTGATCCTAATGAAGCAGATTCTAGTAAAGACTTCCTGTATTGTTCTAAATCTCAGTTTAATTCTTTCCATGTAAGAATTTAATTACTACTGAAAGTTACTTGAATATGAGAAGCTTAATAAGCTGGATGGTGGTTGATGGTGACAACACAGTGCAGTAATTGCCGCGTGTCTTTGTCCCGTCAGTGGAGCGGCCACCTCCCTCAGCGACGGACCTCCAAATATCACGCCAAATGGTACCTGGCCGTTCAATGTTATTAACCTGTCACCTGCACCTAATATCAAACACCCTGAGTGTATCGTCAATGAGTTGCACGCTAGCACCTAATTTAGGAGCACCCAGACTGTATTATAAACGTGTTGTACATCTGCACCTAATTTAGGAGCACCCAGACTGTGTTATAAACGTGTTGTACATCTGCACCTAGTAACGCACAGCACATGGAACGTGTTACTCGCCTGCACCTAGTAGCATCCAGAGTGTATCATAAACGTGTTACTCGCCTGCACCTTGTAGCATCCAGAGTGTATTTTGAATGCGTGACAAGCTAAAAAGTTATCATCCAGTGAGTGAGTTTGATGTAACGTTTGATTCGTGTAATCTGCTTTTGATTGTGAAGGTAACATGTTTTTTTTCTGTCTTCAGCTGTGAAACAGTTAATATCATTGTAGCAACTGTCCATTTTTCTATTTGTACATAAGTTTGGATTGCCCTTCTTCTATTCTGCACAAATTTTTCCTGTTATCACTGAGCTTTCAACTGCATTTCATCTTTAATTTAATTCTTGTTTGTTCTTCCCTTCGGTAAACGTTTTGGTACAGATCTGTCAACAAACATTGATTAAACGCACTCTTGCGTGGACAAAGCAATTTTGTTCAAGCTTTTGCTTCACGCCGCTGCAGTTATATTCATTTCAAATTGAAATTCAGGCTCGTTTACTCACATGAAACCGTGGAAACCGAAAAAAATGTAATGAAATTTACCAGCAAATTATGTAAATCGGCAATGCAATCAAACTTCCCGAACAAATAATATTTCGACTTCAATGTATTCTGGGAGGTTGTCTAAGAATTTAAGTAGATGTAATAATGAAATACAACATCTTGACAACTTCAAGTCTTATTGAATTTGATGTTAACTTTGTTAGATGTTGGCTTGTCGCATGAATGTTGCTGTGCCCCTGTTGTTCTTGCTTGCTTTTAAATCATAATTGCTCTATTTTGAACTGGGCAAAGACAGGCCAGTGACTTAATTCTATGCTTATTAAGTCTTCATAGGACTCGGTACGTACCGATAGCGTTATTCTCGTGTAAGGTTATATTCTTACAGTGTATTACTGTGTTTTAATCAGTTCAACTAACATATAAGGCACTGCTTTAAGAACGATAATTACTTCTTTTGTCTGACTTTGAACAACACACGTCTACAAATGGATTTTTGTATGGGTGTAAAATTGATCCAGTCCCCCAATTAATAGACTGACGAATAAGAGTTTGTAAGTATGTTTTTGTGTAACTAAGCATGCTTTAAAGACATAAGAGCGATGTTGAGAGGATATTGGTTTACAGTACCCATGCATTAGCATGCGTACTTTATAAGTACGCATGTTTTTATGTTCTAAAATTTGAATTGACATTATTTGATCATAGGCATAGCTGCAAAACTATTCAGCCGGTGATAAACAGCCATAATAGCTTGAGAACCTTCCCAGTTCCATCATGACTCATTCTCTTATTATATCCATAATAAATTATTTGTATTTATCTGCCCCACATTTTTGTATTCCCATCTATGCATAACATTTTTCCAAGCTTCATATATTCCATTACTTGAGCAGTTCCCAGTAATCATCGAGAAGCAGCCAGCGCCCGGGTTCACCATAGGCCTGCTCTCTGAGCCTGAGAAGGTAAGCTCTCATCGTCTTGTATTAAATTACAAGTCTCAACTTTTGGTAATATTTAAGTGCATTGTAATTGCTGGTAATTTTACGGAGCAATATTCTTTTTCATCTTTTTTTATGCATATCGGAAGCTATAATTTATTTCGGTTCCATTAGTAGTCCAACAGGTCGCCACAACCTTTAGTGCTCTATTTCTTACGTGTGTGACTTGCTTGATCCTTGTGCTGGCTGCCGCTTTGGTATATTAAGTTCTAATTGAAGCAAATTGAGTGGTTGCCTTCACTCAGGTGGTGGTGGTGACGTCAGTAGAGCCTGGAGGTCCAGCGTCAGCAGCGCTGGCGGCAGGTGACAAGCTGCTGCAAGCTGACGGTGAGACGCTGACTAATGCACCATCGCATCTGCTCAGCGCCCTCATGGCCCCCAACGGTGACACTCTCAGCCTGCTCGTCAGCCGCGCCCCCTGACCCACCCAAGCCTCCAGACCCACCCGCGTCCCCTGACCCATCTTTCGCCCTCTGACCCACCCGCGTCCCCTGACCTATCTTTGCCCCCCAGACTCACCTGGTCCAACTGACCCATCTTTCGCCCTCTGACCTACTTGGGCCCTCTGACCCACCCATGTCCCCTGACCCACCCGCTACCTGACCGAGCTGCTCTGGACGCCCCCCCCCATGACCGAGCTGCTCACCCTACCTTACACTCTCACGGTTCCCAGACTCACTGATCTCATGTCTGCGTACTCATACTCTGATCTTGTTTAATCGTCGGCTGTACAGGTCCTGTTAGTGGGAGTAATTAGGATCATGTTCAAATAGGAGAATCTGTCACTGTTTGTAGCCATTTTCAGTCTCAAATAAGTTTTAGACGTCAGTAGTACCAATATCTGGTATCTGCGCTCAGCATGAATTACGGTAATGCCCAGCATTCCTGCATCTAGCTCCATCAGCTGTTCGGTTAATAATGTTAATATTATCTCTGCCTTGTTATTGTAGTGTTACTAGTGATGCTGCATGCATTAACATCAGACTTGGTGCTGCTAAATTTGATGCAATAGTTCTCGCCGTGCAAACATTTTGGCGAGGATGTTTTTTTTTTTATTTCCCTCATGCTGACCACGGTCCCCTCACTCCGTAAACCCTCGATACTCTGTCCAGTAACTCGCCATAACTTGTTAAGTTATAAGTTTATGTGTTCCAGTAAAACTTAAGTTGAGTTCTATGGCTCCACCTTCACCGCAATAATAGATGCTAAATGTATTGAACACTAGCGCACTTAAATTTCTCTTATAATGCTTAAGCTTTTTTTATAATATTAATGGACAGTCATCAGTCAATGAACGGAGACTAAACTCTACTTTCAACGGCTGTTTTCCAGCATATGATCTCCGGTATCTGTGTGTAATTTTAATCGCTAGTCTTTTTCAATATTGCCCACATTATTATTATTATATTTTTATCCTGAGTTCCTTCCTTATATTTTTATTTTATCCATCAGGCTGGAAGGGATCATGCTAATTCCAATCAAATCTCCAAGGAGCAGCTCTAAGACCGATAATTGCTATTAATTGTCAATCGAATGTGTTTAAACGAACCTCGTCTACGTTACCTCATTTGGTTGCCGCTTGACGTTCCTGATTAGCGTCTGATGGCTAATTTTGAGCTAATTATGTGTGCGGTTATCGACCAAATCACTACTAACGTTACTCAATGTGAGTCGCAAATTCTAAAAAAAAATCTATTTAATTCCAACTCGTCACATATTTATGAGCATTTTTGCAGTCCCCGTTTTGAAACTTTAACGATGTGAAGCTATAAGTCTGAATGGCTGGCGCTCGCACTGCCGGCTCGTAGCACAGCGCCAGTGAAGGCTCTGTGTGTACAGATATTTGATTTAACTAATATTAAGGCCTCAATTAAGCCGCACCGAGGCTGAACTGTAACATTTAAGCATTCCAGTTAGTGCGTGCAGTCATTAGTGTAAGCTAACTAATGTTTTACTTTATGGACGCCTGTACTTATGATTGAAAGGTATTTTATTAATATGGAGTATTTGAAGGGACGGTTTCTTTTATTTTATCATGTCAGACAATTTAAACCTTTCACGTAACTCTGAGCCTGTTGATTCTTTATATATAATATGTCACCAAGAATTTTTACATGAATTTTTATTTTCCCTGCAAAATTAAGGTTATCACATGCATGTTCTATATATCATTCGTCTCTTGATGAAGTTGTTTATTTCTTCTGCGAATATATCCGAAAAACAGGTGAAGATGAACTTTGAGTAGCTGATCTGTTTAAACCATTGAGCTGCTCAATTTAAAGTATTTGTCTTTGTATGCCGTTTTTGTTTTTGCTGTATCATGGAAATGACGTATTATCGATACCAAAATATGTATTACTGATAAAGTTTGAGTTCGCCGCACGACTTTTCTGCTAGTCAAGTACTTTATTTCTTTTGCTTCTTGCTATAATGAATTACCGGAGTCCTTTCTTCATTTCGTTGATTCTTGACTGTGAAAGCGATATCCATCAAGTGATGAGAATGAAATCTATATTCATAGGATTTGCCCGTATACAGGGTCTCCGGCGACACGGTTTCATGCGATCAGTTTTTGGGGATTTTTACAGCTTTCGTGAGCTTGTGTAGGACGGCTGAGAATGCGGGAAGTTCTGTGCCTTCTATTCCTTAGAGGAGACCCAGAAGAAATGGAGCTATCAGAAGCTAGCGAAGAGATTTCAGAAGATTGTGTTTTTCGAGTGGCTGTGGACACACCACGTGGGATCGGCGCCGCACACCAAGTTTCTACGGTTCGTTGCTAATGGATATTCTTATTGCAGTTGTGAACTGACGGTGCCATGGTAGAAATTGTGGGAAATTAAAGCTACATACACTAAGAAGGGTTCCTGTTAGGTTGCTAATAAATTTTATTAACACTGCAACGTTGTGGCGTAATTTGGGGGGTATATTCCCAAATAAACAAATTGTGGAAGAGAAATTTCTTTTAAATCTCTAGGAGTTGTATCTCTCTTTTCATCATACAAGTCTTTTTAGAATTGGTTAACTGGTAGGAATCGTCGGACGGGTATCGCCTATGAATTTTTAAGGCCTTCAATGCACGACGGCGGCAGTAGTGCGGCCGAGTACGAAGACGCTTCCTGAGGCGACAGAAGCGCGATCGAGTACGATATCGTTTCTAAAGCAACCTCAGCTCAGCTCTGTTCTCTGCGTACTCGAGCTAGCTATGCGCTAATGCAGTCTCTGTTCATATCATGACTCGATTTGCAATAAATTGATAACGATACTTCTGGTCAATTTCAGTGATATATCAAGGTCTGTTATCCACAGTACGCCCAAACTCAGAAAGCGGTATTTTGGACCACGGTGTGAAATCCGTGCTTAGTCCTCAGATCGCCAACGAGGATCTTAAACTCTCGAACGTAGGTCTACAGACTTTGTAAAGTGACATCTGTTGGATTTGCTGGCAACGTACCGTTTTCAGGTGGATGTCCAAAGGCCAGCAGTCGAATGGTTGAATTAAATACGTATTCAACCATGAGCAGTCGGCTAGAACTAATTACCTTGAGCCGACCGATGGCCATCTCTCTTCAATTGTTTCTCCATCAGTTTTTTCACTCATAGGCCCAGAAAATGATAAAAAGAATATTATGGTAACGATTTGAAGTTCTCTCTAATGTAGGTACAAGAAAAACCTATACAATGCGCAGCCTGATTTGATCCTAATCAAAGCACGCTTTGATCGCATATCTAAATTGGAACTCGTATATCTTTTTTTTATCTAATTAGTTTTCGCATGTTATTTAGAACATAATTTTTAAATTTATTTCATGCAGTAGAATTTTATCGTGTATTTGGAGCCAATGGTGAATATCTACTTCATATTAGTTGACCCCTGGAAATAACGTTCTGCTGTTTGTTTACGTTGCGGAGCAGTTGCACAACCTGGTGAGGACACGTCTGCCGCAACCCAGTGGTCTTTGGGACGAGTTTCGTTCACAAAAGTTTCGGCTATATTGTAGACTGTGTAGAGTAAAATCATTTGATATTCTTACGCATGTTACTATAATACTAATTTTAGATAAAATTCATCTAGAATAATTGTAAGTTTGACGACGTATTAAATTATGTGCATAGTACCTATTCTAATTTCTGATAGGCTAATCATGATTCATGACTGATTCCCTTTTCCAGGATGATGTAATGATCATCAGTGAGACAGTGGTCACTGGTCAGTGACATCAGTCACATAACTGACATTGACATTTATCATGTGTCATTAACATCAAAGTAAAATTGACCATTTTCTGATGTAAGCAGTAGAATTCTGTCAGATTGATAATTTTACTATCCCACTAGTTTGAATGAAGAGGTATAGGTAGGTACTAGTCTGGAAAAGTCCTATTTTTGTCTGAAATATCGCGGCTCTAATATCATATAATTTCAGTAGGTATGAAATCTCGCTTCCAACGTACCGGAAACCTTACTTTTTTTCTAAATAGTTGGCTGAAGACTGAGAAATATATTAAATGCAAGAATTTCAATCTAAATGTGTCGGCAAGATCTTCTGAAGGCAAAAATTTTGCCGATAATGCGTCGCCGTAGGTCTTTAAATCTTCGTTCACTCTCTGCACAGTGGGATTCATGGTTGAAATAGTGATGTCATACTATTGCGCGCAATATTTCCACAAGCACAAAACACTAGGTTTGCATGAAAATGTTAAAATCCTCAGAGCAAAAGTCCACGTCACCCCACACTCAGGATGATGTATGTTTTTGGTGAATTTTCCCGCGCATTTTCACTTTTTTTAAGCTATTGCTGTGCACAGTTGGCGCAATGTAATGAAAATTGATTCTCTTCGCGCAATCCTGGCCATCAATTCTATGTTGCGCTGCCGTGCACGAGCAGTTTGTGGAGGAACAGATGTAATACTCACATTACTCAGTACAGTATGCCTTTAATTATCTTTCAATAATATATGATTTTTCTTGATACAGAAATTTGGTGAATGAGAAATCTAGAACTTTATTTTAGAAGAAATTTTCTCCAAAGTCGTATGGCAACACTGAACACCATCTGTTTACATTTCATATGTATAATAGCCGCAGTTTACGATTACCATACGTTCCGTATCCGACAAGGCGGACAAGCGGATGAGTCAGAAGTAACCCGGACATGTCTTACATTTTATTATTGTCAGTTCGACTCGCGTAGTCAATATACTCGCGTATATTGTCGACTAAAGTACGGCGCACGGCGCATTTTTTTTACCAGCATAGTACGGCGCACCGCGCAGGTCGTTAAAATGACAAAATAAATTCCCGCTCACCTGGCACATCTTCCTGACCATGGACGTCACCCAGTGAGAACATCGAAATGCGTGTCTAAGTTGATAGTTGACCTTGCTCTACCAAATAGTGATGAACTGTTTGTGTTGGAAGAATATTATGGTTTGAGACTTTTAAATAAGTCTATGAATATATTAGGAATCCTTTAAGTATATTTGTATTTGCTAACTTTAGTAGTAAATAAATTGATACATGATTAAGTCAAGAGACGGTTTAGACACATAAAAACTAATTTCAGCACAGCTCCGAATTAGACACACACAGCTCGTTCCAAGCTGTGTTGTATTTTGATACAGCTCAAACAGGGCATTGGAATTCCAACACAGGGCGTCAGAATTACGAATTACGGTTTTGAAGTACTGGCTGAATTAGTCTTGCAATATGCCAAATTTAGTCACACACAGCGTCAAAATTCAGCAATTTTGTAGATTTGAATTCTAAAGGCTTTTAAATAAATATACAGTTTGTGACATTTCATCAATCATCATTGCTGGCAAATATTGTTATGTTTTGAGAGTGACGTAAAGCAATCAAAACTTGAGTTGCTCATACGGTGATCTTTTTATAGCCATTCATTTCTTGCTACGTCCTTGAAGTGTCGCAATATGGTGTGTTTACCCTAATTACTAATTAGGAAAATCAAAATTACTTATTACAGGAATTTTGTGACTCCAAAGAGACAAATTTCATAGGGTAAATGTGGTATATTCCGACATATTAAGGACGCATCAAGAAATGAAAAACTATGAAAAAATAACCGTATGCGTTACTCGAGTTCTGTTTGCTTTACGTGACTCTCAAAACACCACACTATGCGCCAGCAACAATGAAACGTCACAAACTGTTGCCATATTTATTTAAAAGCTTTTAGAATGCAAACCTACCAAATCCCTATATTCCAACGCTGTGTGTGACTAAATTTGGCATGTTGTGAGACAAATTCCGGCTGCGCTTCAAACTCTACTAATACGTAATTCCGACATCCTTGTGTTCAAATTCCGATCGCTGTGTGAGCTGTATTGGAATACAACACAGCTTTGAATAAGAACACTATTGAATATTGAGCACTACTTAATTAGGCTTTTAATTAACAGCTATTAAGCTTTTAATTAAGAAAATTTTAATTTATTCACATAGCTTGGAACAAGCTGTGTGTGTTCAATTCAAGTTGTGTCAGAATTAGTTTTTATGTGTCTAAATCCGTTTCTTAACTTAATCATCTATTAATTTATTTACCACTTGAAATCACCAAATACAAGTAAACTTAAAGGATTCCTAATATATTCACAGACTTATTTAAAAGTCTCAAACCATAATATTCTTTCTACACAAACTGTTTATCACTATTTGGTAGAGCAAGGTCAACTGTCAACTTTGACCTATTTTTCGATGATCTCGCTGGGTGACGTGCACTGTCTCTCTTTGGATCTCAACATTTTCTGGCCAGATGGCCCAGACCTAGTGTTTTGGCAATAGTTTGGCGCGCAAAGGTATGACGTCACTATTCCAACCATGAATGAATGCGTGGAACTAAGTCGAAGCTTAATATAAAGGAAAAACTAGAGATGTGTCAGAATTACCCACGATGTCGGAATATACCGCGTTTACCCTATGCATTACTGCCAAATGGGGTTATAAGCCTAAATAAGGGACAGGCAGAGGCAAGGTAAGGGGTTAATTGGGACAGTCCTCTGCCATGGCATAAAAATGTTGTAGCTGCAAAACTAATTAAAATATTGCTAAATTTAAAATAGTGGGGTAAACTTCAACATTTTTCATATTTATTTTGTATGTTACATAAAGGAAGTTAAGAAATATACATTACTAGCTCCTAAAAAATCCATGAAAAAATGTTGAAAAGTAATAATTTGAAAAAGTACTTCTGTTAAGTGGTACTTATGTTCTGTCGCAAAAAATATATTTGCCCTATTAAAAAATTTTGCTTGAAAAAAGTTGGGCCCGTGGGCCCTGGCAACATAACTGGTAGAATAAAAAGTAATTAACCTAACCTATGATTGATTTCTCCAAAAAATATGATTTCTGTCTGTCACTCAAATATTCCTAAATTTTTTAAGTAGGATTTTTACAAAAATTTTTTGTTATAGATAATACACTTGACCCAATTAAAATGGTGTGAAATTACATGCTGTCCTGTAAGCTTACAGATCTATACAGCTGCTGATATGAAGCTTGCAGTGGACAAGGTTGTTTTCAATGTTAATGGCATGTCAATATCAATAGAGGAAAAACAACTACAAATCACAGAAAATATAATTTATTCTGCATCTACATCATCTACAAAGGAAGAGGAGGACTTTGGAGTACTTGTAGTAATATTGATTGATGAGTACACATTCCATGCTTCAAATGTTTTAAAATTAAGTTTTATTTCAAGTGTCCCAGATTACCCCGTTTGCATTTGATACTTTTCTTTTGCATCTGACATCTTGAAAATAGTATAAAGAATTTTTTTTATATACCTACCATACAATAGCACTTGCAAAGACATTTAAAATGAGCCGAAATTCTTTTATGAAATGTTTCATGGTAAGAAGTTATTAATAAAAATGCTCAAAATTGTTCCTTATTACCCCGTTTGATGGTACAACAAGAAAAATCCAAGGAAACTCTATAAAGAGGATAGCATCGGGACAATATAGATTCCTTTGTTCGTTCTCAAACACAACTGTGCTGAATTGACTGGTTGGTTATGATCAAAAATGATCAGAAGCCAGAGGCCTACTTATGCTCTTAAGACAAAATTGGCATGTCTGCCTTTTCATGGTTTGGTTGTGATCCACATAACATTCTTACCCCTTTTTACACTAGTGTGGAAAATATCTGATCTCTGATCTCCAACTGAATCTGCATACAGGACAATTGTTTTACCTTAAATATGCTGTAGCGGTGATTAGTTATTTATCAATTCTTATATAAAAGTTTAAATTGCCCTCCTATTTAATTATTTGAAAAAAAATTTAAGATGTTATTTTTAAAAGTCAAGATAAAAAATGAGTTATTGAGAAAACTATGTGTAAAATGAAACATTTTTTGTATAAGGTTGGTAGAACAAATTGTCAATATTCACTCCGCACCTCTGTGAATTAACTTTGGTTTGTTTTTTTTTTTCCAAAAATGTCTTATCAAGAAAATGTCATCAAACAGTAATGTCTTTTTGATTTTGTTCAGATGATGCAAGACGTTTTGGAGCCTTCTGACACCCTGAGCCAGCCTGGCCTCATCCAGAGATTTGGCACATCCATCAGTCGGGTGAGCTTAACTCTTCCAAACCTATTTGTTTCAGGAAGGTTTTTTTTAACTTTTTTGTTTCCATATTCCTGTAAAAATGGCTAGCATGTGTGCAAGGTAAACCATGAATGTAAGTGTGGAAGTTAGGGTGCTCATAATTAACCATGCAAGTCCTTAATTTTTATTGACACGTTTATATGTTTATTGACTATTCCTATCAACTTATTTATCTTCACTATGTGTGACATGAAGCGCTGCTGCAATGATGAAATGATAATTTTTAGTTTGCTGACATTGTGGAGTTTTATATTTTAGTTGTCAAAAAATACAATGTCTGAAGAGAGACATTCTAGTCAAGCTCTTAAACCTTATTTTTAGGAATGATCAGATGAACACCGTGTAGATTTTCTCATTATTATTATTATTATGCATAAAATTTTTGGGTAGTTGACAGGTTTTCTGTTGACTTTTAAATTCATATTTCATATGTTAATCAGACAATCACCTTAATTTTGAGAAAGGAGACACATCTTGGATTCTGAGAATGATTGCTAAACAATCTCCTATGAGTACCTATGTAGCAGACTCCATTATTCAACAGCATCTTATGGAAGTTAAAAAAAATTACATGAAGTTATCAACTTGATCTAGAAAATACTGAGCTCATCTGCAGTAGGTTGCTTTTGTAGTCACAAAATCGGTCACAGAATAGAAGAGAAGTTTTAGTCAGTAGCATGATGAATACAGTGGATGTACCACGTAAGAATGCAACACATGCCGCATTAAGTCCATGTGTGCACAAGCTTGATTTCTGAGTTTAACCAGGGCCCTATCAAGTTAATAAGGTCATACTAACCTGAACAGCTGCTGTGTGGAATGTACAGGATTTCCTAATTGTTGTGTAGGTAGATTTCAGGAAATGCTATACCCTGAATGTGGAGAATGCTAGGTGGCCATAGAAGCCTGAGTTTACCTTAAGTGGTAGGAAAATGAGAGTGTTGCTTTCTGGGGCCTTATTGGAGTTGGTAAGACAGCAAAGACCCAGTTGAGTTGGGGGTGATGAGTAGCCATCCCTGGGGACTCCTGTTCATACATTGTGTGTTGATGGTAGGTATATATCTGCAGTACCGGTAGAGGCATGACGCCTTAATCCTTTGAGGTAAAGGAATAGCTTTTATCTTATATGTCCCTATTCATTTGTAACATACTATCAATATATCTTTATCTTCACCACATGGCCTGAATGAGATAATTTCATTTATTTTAATTTTCAACTTTGATATTAAACATTTGACAAATTTTTATATGTAATGGGTATTAAAATTAGTCATTTATGCTAGTTAGTAGTAGTATTTGCTAGTAGCAATAGTAATATTTATATAAATTGTACCTAACTAGTAATTAGTTTTTTCCATTATCACATGTTTGCAGAGGTCATGTGATACACCACTTTATGGGTTGTGTGTTTGAACTCCCACCTGTTGTATCTTGAGTGCCTTCTGTGCTGATCAAGCATTCAAGTGTCAAGTGCTCTAGATAAGTGAGTCCAGATACCAGCATCCTTACGGTCACAATCACAAGCTCAGGGCATGAACTTTTAGTTCTTTTGGTGTCTCTTTACTGTACACTCCTATGAGTCCTGCTTAACCTGTTGTTGATGAGTGATCAGCCAGCCTGCTGTTGATGAGAAAGTCCAATCTTGACAATCTCTTTATTTTTTAGTTAAAAAGTTTATTGATTCTTCTCTCTGTATTCTATTTTAAATATTTATCCAGTTGCTAATGTTCTATGGCAAACCCTTTATCATTTATTTAAGCTTTGAATGCTTTGTTTGGTCTTATAGCTTCTTGAAGGCCAATTGTTAATCACAGTTAGTCCACTTTTGAGAGATTGTGCTGTCTGAGGTAGTTGTTGTGCTACCATACCTGCAACTAAGTTGCAAGTTAGAGTTCATGATGCGTAACTGGCTGCACATGGAGACTGTGATGGTAGGAGACGCTCGGCATCGCTCCTTCTCTCACAGCTCTGACCATAGGCTTGCAGGCAGCTCCCATAAGTCTCTATCTCCTCAATTGCTTTTTCATGTAAGTTGCATCACGATTCTTTGCAGGGCTGCTGGACTCAAGAAATAATGCTTGACATTCTGGAACTCATAAACTCTAGGGCTTTCTCTATTGTATTTGATCAGGTTAAGAGGTATAAGCTTCATTTATTTTCTGAACTATTTGATCTATTTGATCAGGTTAAGAGGTTTAGGCTTATTTATTTATTTTAACTATTTGAAGTTTGATCTGGTTAATATGTTCAGGCTTTATTTTATTTATTTGTTCATTTATTTTAACTATGCTATTTGGTTCAATCCGGTTGAGTAAACTAGTGATTGTTTCACCCTCACAATGTTAACTTCATAGTTTATGTTCAGTCAATTGAAAAATTCTAGTAAATTATTACTAAATTCATATGGTATGTTTGAAATAATATAATAATTTAGTAATTTTTATTTCAGATGTACCAACACTACCTGGACAAATGGACACCCTACACAAAATGTCGATGGGTGTTTAGCCTGGCGTTGTTGGGGGTGTTTCTATTGCGGATATTCATGCTGCAGGGCTGGTACATTGTGTGCTATGGTCTGGGTATATACCACCTCAATCTCTTCCTCGCCTTCCTCACGCCTAAAATAGATCCTGCCTACATCAGTGATGATGGTGAGTAAATGCTTCCTGGCAGCTTTATTCTTATCACCTATACAATTCTCAGTACAAATTAAATGAAATTTCTTTCTTTCTTTTTTCCACGTCAAATGACAGAAAAATGTATTCTGTTATGATGGGTAGTCTGCTTTTGTTTACTACAGTGATGTTATTGTTGAAATTGATGTTGTATATAAATGACGGTATTGTTTTTCGTTGATGAATCATACAAAATAAATTGATGGATCATAAGTTTCTTTTTGCTTGATAATGTATTTTTTTTTTTCAGTTGATCATAGTATGAGATGGTTTATATTCTGCTTTATCAGTTATCAAAATTCTGCTTATCAGTGAATACTTACGTATTGCTGGTAGGGTAATTTCTTTGTTACTGTTGTATGTGTTAAAAATAAAATGTTTTCCAGACGATGGCACAAGCCTGCCCACCAAAGCCAACGAAGAATTTCGGCCGTTCATGCGGCGTCTTCCCGAGTTCAAGTTTTGGTACAGCATGACCAAGTCTACTGTCATAGCAACTTCATTAACATTCTTTCAAGTGAGATATCCTTGCACTGGCTTCTCAGTTTGGCCTTCAGAATTAATCAAAACATCTACTTTAATATCACAGTAACATAATTCTACAGCGCTGTATCCTCAGAAATGTAATATTTTTTTGAAGAGTAATTGTGATGATTTGATTGCATTGCATTCAATTTGATTCGTTATTAAAACGTTTTCCAGCATTTGTCTCCTACCTCAAATTGATTTGGAATTAATTTCAAAACTTTGAAAGATAATTACTATATTTGTACCTGAAATGGTTTGGAAGTAGTTATTGACGCTTCTCAAATTCAACAATACATATGTCAATAGTCAATTCCTTCAACCAAGTATACAAATTAGATATTAAAACCTAAGTTAATCACTTAGTTGGGTAGTGAAGTCAACTGTGTAAATTTATTCATATGAATCAATAATACGCATACACTCAAATTTTAGAATTGTTGACAAACCTGCTCTTTGAAACATTTTCATTTTAAATATAGTGAATTATATGAACATATTTTTCTGAATTTTCTGAATTTTTCTCTTAAGAGTAATTATTTTCTTGATAGATAGTTTTAAAATGTGGTGTTTTTGTTAAGGTTTTCAACGTACCAGTGTTCTGGCCTATCCTGGTGATGTATTTCATCACACTCTTCTGCATCACCATGAAAAGACAAATTAAGGTGGGTTGCTATTAACTTGCTAATGATTTATTGATTTAGTAATTAATTTCTCAGATCCTCAATATTTTTTCAAATGCGTCTTTTTAGATTAATTCATGTGTCTTTGTAGATTAATTTTATATTGTGGCCGGTTAATTGATATCATTTGAATTCTTGATTTCTTTGTTAATGCCAGGTATTTCAAACTCTCTAGTTTGATTGTTTCGTTAACATACTATTATTTGGTGATCTGATGCGCACTAAATTCTGATTGACTCAACAATTTAAAAAATGATGTTCCATGTGCAGCACATGATAAGATACAAGTACCTGACTCTGTTAACACCTGATGTTCCATGTGCAGCACATGATAAGATACAAGTACCTGCCATTCAGCTTCGGCAAGCCGCGTTACACCAACAACGACGCCAACGGCGCCGCCAAGCCTGTCCCTGATTGACGACCTCAGCGCGGTCGATGAGCGCCTCGCATGCACGGCACCAAACTTGTAGAAACTTTACTCTTTATTACGGCTTGCGATTATCTTAATCTTCTCTTTCACTAAGTACTAAGCCCTCAGTTTTAGTCTATTTGTTGCAGAAATATCCCCAAATTTTTTTTACTACTTGGTAACGGTATGTAGGCTCTGAATTACGTGGGTTAATTAATGTGATCACATTGTAATTGAGTCACACTCACGGCATAGTTGAAACTGGAACATTTTGTTGTTGAAGAATAACTTGATTTTGTGATGTCTAATTGTGTACAGTATTGTCGCTCATGTCAATTGGCCTTTTCAATTAATTGCAAAGCCTCTGCTTCTTAATTGAAATTATCGCTTATGTGTCCCTATAGCAGGTCCATAAAGCACGTCAAAGTTTCGTGATTTCATCGTAATTGAAAATATTGAGCCCTGCCTGGCGCTGCATGCTTGGATGCCGCCATTCAATTGAAGTTTTTTTTCTTTCTTTGGCTGGTATGAAGTCATGTTTCCACTTTATTGTACATCGTTTCCTCTGCAACTGAAAGAAAAAATCCTGAAGTGTTGACTGTGTAAGTAGTTAAAATTTCAGTACTTTGTAGAGCTTGTTAATATATATATACACTTTCTTGCATTGACAAGACATAATGTGTTGAAGTTATTTTCTTGAATCCATTTACTACGTTCGATTCGAAATTGTATTTATTTCGGTGTACAAAGTTGAAGAGATATTGTGTTACTACTAATGCAAGCAGTTGAGCATTTATCATCTCTTGAGTTAGAAGCCATCAAAGCTCCCGACTGCTCCCGTTTATGAGCTACAGTCTCTCTTATTGATTTGGTTACAAATAACAAATGCAATTTGCGTTAGGGTTCATGTACCTCATCCCTTCCCTTACTTATATGAAATTCTAAGCTCTCGAAAATACGTTAAACAATCTTTTCTTACTCTGAAAGTCAATTGGTGATGGAACATTTTTTTAAACGACCGTATGTTATATATCTTTATATTCTTATAATCATCACTGATCTTTTTTTGTGTAATCGATTGTTTGTTGCCAATACCAGTTGGAATTTTAAACTGGTATTTGCATGTCCGTAACCTGAGTCATGTTGTGTCGTGACGGTCATGCCGTCTTCCCGTGACTGTCTATCGGTTACCCAATGATTTTAGGGCAGCATTGGGGGTTAGAAATGCTTCCTGCAACTGAGCAAGTCTCTGTGTCCGGTATTGCTTTTATCATTGTTGTGGTCACAAGAAAGTTTGGAAGATGAAGAGATTTAGGCTGTAAAAATCGGGCTTTGTTTTATAATTGTTCCTATGCTAGTGTTAATTGTCACCAAACTCTTAGAATATCACTAAACTGGAAGTGTTGCGCACGCTTGTTGATTGTTTCGCGCAAGCCATGCCTCAGTGCTCTGAATTATAGCTGCAGAAAATACAATTGCTATCGTCAGTGAAACTCGGCCTTTTTTCTATTGTTGAGCATCAAATTTAATGTGATGTTGCTGAACTCTCATTTTATACTGTTATGAAAAGTTGCTTACATCTTTTTTTATCTGCTGGGAAAGAGCCTTCTATGACGGGGAAAGGAACCTTCTTACCTTATTTTTCTTTTGCTGGGAGTTGGCTTTCTATCAATAATTATTAAAGTTTCATCACTGAAGATCTATCCTTACTTGAAATATCCAAAATAAATAAAAAATTGCCCGCATAATTTGATGTTATAGCCAGAGACCTCACTGGCATGCTATGATACTCTCCATAAAGTCAATCTCAAGTTTAAACTAAAGTCGATGCAAGAAAAGATGATGGATATTGTTTTAGTTGGAAGATATGACCACTGTCGGCTGTAGTTTCGACTCTATTTAGGCGTTGGTTGTAATTGGTCCTCTTCATTGTATTCAACGGTTTATAATTAATCAAGACTAATCTTCCCTGACTCTTTTTAAGATGGGGTCGACTTAGTCATCTTTGACTGCCTTTTCCTGCCTCCTTTCTGATGGCTGTACCAGTTTATTTAACCCGTGTCTGTGCCCTGACATTCTTGCTTGCTTAAATAATGCTAATTTGATTCAGAGCTCTTCACCTGGGCCCATACTTTCAATACTCGCTAAGTGAACGTAAGTACTTACGCTCTATTTTCTTGTCTATGATTGGTGGATTTTGCTTGAAAGGCCGTCAATGATTGGTTGATGAACTTACGATCTCTTAATTTTTTTTGAAAGTATGGGCCCTGAAAATGATCCACTCGAGAATGTTGTCTTTAGTAATTGGATGAAACAAAAAGATCTTTCACGTGTATTCGCTGCTTAGAAACGAGGACGTTGACGACTATTGCCCATGTCAAAGTGAAAAATTCATGTTAGTGTGCAGCATGTGGTAACGTTCAATCAACGGGTTTCCTAACATTCAAGATTTTGAGAACTTCTTTTTAATGCAAGGAAAATATCGGAAGCCATAGGCATTTTTATTGATGTTATATTATTTGTATTTGCTTTGCAGTATTGTTTTCGTTGAAATAAGCTGAGAGGGATCAATTTTTAATACTTGGAAGCCATCCAACTTGTTCTGGCCATTGTTCTGCATTTTATCCAACTTGTTCTGGCCATCAAACCAATTCGCGTCAAATCTTCTGCTATTCCCTCCGCTGCTATGCGACCAATCCCTCGACTCTAGTATTGTCATCTGACGCTCAGTGCTGATGTGAGTGATGTCCGTTGTACAGTGTAATGGAGCACAGTACATGTTTACGTAGCACCAGTGGTTCAAAGTGGGCTGTAAAGAAATAAAAGGTGGGTTCTGCTTGAACTTTATGCAACCCTTTGCTTTTCAACTTTATTATTCTAGTTTTTTTCTATTTATTATAAACGAATTTTAATTTCCTGTGACTCTCCTTCCAAGAATGGTCGAATTTTCAATCGTTAAAAATCCAAACCATTGCCAGGTCGAGTGTTTGTCGTGTGATTAGTCCATCCCAGCTGAATCATTTTCTGGAAGATTGTAAGTTCCCGTCTGTAGTTTGTGATAATTGACGAACATTGTACAAATCAGCGATAGATTTGGTAATGTGATCGCCATGAAGCACCTGAACTGCGAAGTAACTGGCAGCTGTGCGCACGGTCAGGGCTCTGAACAAGTAAGCTTTTTGGTGATGGCATCTCCACTCTGTTCGGGAAGCCTGATGATATTTCAATGTTAACTTTACGCTTTGAATTTTAGATCGATTTTTCACCATTTGATGTTTCTACTAGCATTAAAAATCCTATTGATGCAAATCTACAGCGGGAATAAGGCCCACATCGATATTCTTCAGGACATGGAACTAACCTGTTGGCAGCGCTGCCGAGTATTGCATACTAAACTAAATAATTTATCACCTACGCGGCCAGTGATGCGGCGTACACAACGGGCTGCACTTCCTAAAACGGAGATTTGAAGCTGATAATTTAATTGAGGTATCGCCCCGGTACTTCGATTGTACTGTTTTAAACGTGGAGGTTGATTGGTCGACTATATAATTGATTCGCAGGTACTAAGAGGCTCTAGAATTCTAGATAGTGCAGTGCAGGCACTTGGCTGATGCACTACACGTCGCAGTGCAGTGCACTGCGTGCGTCATTAAGCTTTGACTCTTCGTATGATGATTTGTAACCTTGATCAAGCGTAGTTTTTATGATTGCCTCGATCGTTTTTATTGTTTGGTACCCTCACATTTCCTAGGGTCTTTGGTGTTAAGTTTTCCTTACATTTGGCATTGTACAGTGAGATGCTAGTAATTTAGGGGATCATTGCTTAATTTATTATTGAAACATTAGTAATAAATGTATTCACAGATTACTTTGTTTTCTTTCGGTTACTATGAGCAATGCTGGATATAACTTAAGTGATTGCATTCAACTCAGATACGTTGATCTAGTTCTTGTACCAGATTGTTTGATCTCGAGTCGTTCAGCCTGAACACGCGACCTTCTTACGTATCTATGGATTAATTTTTGCATCGATTTAATCCGCAGCAATCAACGAAAGGTTACCAAAAAGTCTGCTGCCTTCACAGAACTGTCCCACACAGAGAAGACTCGGAGGGCCTTTGGAAAGTAATGGACGGAAGCGCCTGGGGAACGGCCTGCCTGAAACGTGTCAAATCGCTGCGCGGGCCCGTTTTTAGCGGTGCATAGAGGTAGGAGAATGGTAGTCGGGTTTCTTCTGGAGCAGTCAAAGGTTATGAAACATTTTTGATCTTGTTACTTACGGCGGATCAGTCTTTTTGGAGGGATTACCTGTCCATAATGACCGGTAGACATGATGCCTTTTTCCAGTAGAGGAGCTTAATGATGCCTTTAGGTGATCTTCGATGTGAGGCGCATGAACTGTCGAAACTAAGACGTAGCGGGTATCTAGGGTCCTGGTAAAGGACTGCAAAAACGCAAGGGTCAGGTGGGTAGAGAAGTGTGTCTATTTCAATACTGAGGTGGTATGTAGGAACCATCCTAAAGTGTAGCGGATCTTGCTACAACAGTAGTTGAATATTTTAACTAGCAATTTCAAAGTATATCATAGCGGGATTGCCTCCTCTTAGGGATTGCCTCCACACCAAGAGCTAACAGGTACTAATTGCCTGGTCAGTCACGCTACTCCTGACTTGTCCGGACAACACGTTGCTGTTTCATGCTTTGCCTTTCCTCATGTCACAACTGCCCTGACACACTTCACAAATTCGTCAAATTACCTTCTTCCGTGACTGCAGACACTCCACTCAGGAAATCTCCCAGCTCCTCCTGTTCTCTGCGCACCACGGCTCCACTGGGGAAGCAATCACCATAGCAGCTCACGTTAGCAGAACGGCACCTGGCAGAATCTATTTTTAGCATTGATTGGCAGAATCCAATCTATTTTTAAATAGATTGGCAGAATCCAATCTATTTTAGCGCAAACGATAATTATGCAAGCTTTCAAAAGTCTAACAGCTGGCTCGATTTCACAACATCTGTTCAATTTTTTTTTCAGATTCACTGAAAATGAGTCGTTTCGTTGTTTTGCTCACCTCTAAACTTATTCATAGTTTTAAAACTTTTTAACGTGCCCTCGTAGTTTTGTACAAGACGTCACGACAATCTCTTCGTAAATAAATAATTGAAGAGATTTTACACGCCTAGGGCTCCCCGCGTGCACAAGATAACAAGCCTCTTGATGGCTATAGCCCTGACGTGAAGGAAGAAGGTACTGGTGGTATGGATATCATAAGTAACCAGCTGTACGGAAGGCTTACGCGGGGTCATGGTTGACCTATGCGCGGGTATACGGCTAACTTTTTTGTAGCGGACAACGAGAAAAGTTTTGGCATGACTTGAGCATTCCAGAAACTGAAGGTAAGTCTCCCCCCCCCCTCCCTCACTCAGGTGTCAACACTGCCGCAGCAACACAAATTGTATCGGTGCGTCTCATTTATCACAGTTGATAAAGGTTAATACATTCTATGCTGGCGCGATTAATTTGTTTAAACGCAGATGGGTTTATACGACGCGTATATAGGTCGCCAAAAAATAGAAGATAGGTTGGAAAGAGTTGTGAAACTCACGGGAAGGGTTGTTGCCTGTGGATTTTTAACAAGATTAAAGTTGGAGTTGAGGGAGGGCCGAGTTGTAAGCATCTCGGAGTATGGCAACAAACCATGGTACTTGGATTGCTACCATTCTTACAGGTCCCAGGTCTCAACCATCATTTTTCAATTTATTTATTCCATTTACTTACATTGGCAATTTAAGTATATTACTATTAGCTTCAGCAACAGATCATTGAAATCGCTATATGTTTCGTATTCTTACCATCGCAGAATATTCTCAGCTTGTTGCGGTCTTGGACAGCCAACTCATTGCTCCAATTTTGCTGTGCTTAACCACCCGGCCTCCTCGCCGCCATAAATTGGCGCACAGAGCTAGTATCGAACCCGCGCCTCTTTACTCAACTGTAACCACTGGGCCACCCTGCGGCTTGGCTATCTGACTCTTCAGAATAAATAATAAAAATAACAATAATAACAGGTTCAGCGTTTATTAGGCCGTAGGCCTCTCACCGATTCTCAACATCGTATAATATTCCCAGCTTGTTGCGGTCTACAACGCGCAAGCGCAACTCTGCTTCAATTTTGCTTTGCTTTAATTAACCGCCCGGCCTCCTCGCTGATTCTGACCAGAAACTGGCGCACAGGACAGAGCTGGGATCGAACCCGCACCACTCTGCACCAATCCTGGTACTCTGTGTAAACGCTGGGCCACCCCTTCATGTTTAATTTAATAAGTATGTGCGAATTTCTAATCCAATTAATTAATATGTTTAGTTTATTGCTCACCGTGGACTACTAAACTTCTAAATGAAGTCGAACTGTGCCGTTTAACGCAGGATAACCAACATTTATTTATAAGTTACTGTAAATTCTGTAGAATTTGTATGCTCGCAATGCCTTCAAGGCTTCAGATAGTAGACAACCGAACAGGTAAACGAACCACGAACAATCCACAATTAGAGGAATGATACCCGAGGCAATCGATGGCTCATGACAACTACATGGAAGAAGTGCATATCACGGGAGCGCTGCCATAGCCCAAAAATTTGACTCTTAAATCAGCTCAAGAGCCAATGCCAACCCTCTACATGCAATAGAAATAGTCAGCATAACACCTATGCAGCTGCCTCATCACAGATGCGTTCTGGGCAAGCTTGATCGCAACTGCGGTGCGGTTATTCGCACGCAAGTTTTGTAACTCCGAACACCACCGCATGAAGCCCGAATTTGAGACAAGCGGATGTCGATATCAGATATTCATGGTAACATATAATTTATCTACTAAATACTTGAATTACTTTTATGATATTTCGAGCGAACTTTCCAGAAACTGAAAAAAAACATTGCGGTGTACCGCGATGCGAATCTACAGTAGGTGCCGATGAGACTTCAACCTAACCACTCACAACTCCTTTAACACTGAACTGATGATACTGATCTGCTTGAAATTTGGAATATAAGTAAGTATTATCAGAGCGCTGTGTCTGAAAAAATTGAATGTAAAGGATGTAATGTTTTTACATAACTTCCTTTTTAATTACAACGAGAAAACATGATTTTATGCAACCCATCCACTCATAGTCATAGCTCCTTCAATACTGAACGAATCTGCTTGAAATTTGGAATATTTGTAGATACTATCAATGCTCGGTCTGAAAAAATTCAAGATTTTGACATCACACACTTTTTAATGAAAACAATAAACGCGATTTTTAGGCAACCGTACGACGCATAACTCCTGCAGGCATCCGTGAAAACTCACAAATAATAATTACGTCCACATTTGGAATAAAAGTCGGACAACTGACGGCTTATGAGGGAAGAGGAGCCGTTAGTCTGAAGAATTTCAAGGTATTTAATAACTTTGACCAAAAAAGTGAATTTTTATGATAGTTATTCTGATTAAGCTGTATAAATTAGATGGCCCATTTAAATTATAGCGGAAATTATCACGTATCCTGAAACTGCAAAGCGCTGTGTAGTCACTGTAGTGAGTGTGTCAAACTCAAAGACGGGTAGGATCACTAGGATGTTTGATTAAATTTTCTGTATGTACCTATTCTCACTCAGTCACGAGTCGAGTGACAACTTGACAAGTCTCACTAGCAAATAGTAATTATCCTGAAGTCCTTGTGCCTGGGACCCTGGACGTTGACTTACACTAGTTTGAAATTTATTTGATGAGCAATTTATCATCTTATGGTTGCTATTTTATTAGGGCTAAGTGTAGGTATGTGCACAAAGTACTCTCGAATGTAAACAATGCTGGCAAAATGGCGGACAGCCACTTTCCGCATCGGCGCGCGTAAGGTATTTAATTTTGAAAGTCCCGCCAAAATGTTAGCTTAATTTGATTGACTTTTGTTTGGAAACGAANCCTGTCTCTTATACACATCTAGATGTGTATAAGAGACAGCTTTCAAGCTGTGATTGGTTGATGGGGATGCTTTCCAGCTGTGATTGGTTGCTGGGGATGCTTTCAAGCTGTGATTGGTTGATGGGGATGCTTTCCAGCTGTGATTGGTTGTGCCCATAAGCCCCACCCCCAAATATGGTATATGTACTACAGTACTGGTTAACTAAATACTTAACATAAACTTGATCATTACAAACAAAAAGCCTGGAAAATTTTCAAAAAATCCATTAAATAAAAGACAAATAGAGAATATCTATCAAACAAGAGACATTCAAACAATTGTATAACAAATCTGAGGTACTATACAACTGAATTAGTTTGTCCACTTTTGATCCTCCTTTTCATTTATAGTCAGTCACCTGGCAGAGCACAGTATCTAAGGAAAGCATTCCACCTTGGGTGGAAAGCTTTTTTATAAGTGAACCTCCATTTCTAGAATTCCACCCTGGCTAGCTTAATGAGATTAAATTAAAGTTTGTTACTCTTTAGTCTTTGCACTGGAACGTCTGAATACCTAAATTGAAATTGTAATACTTTTTTAGCAATTAGCATGGTGACCCTATTTAATTGATTATTCAAATAATATATCTGCAATTTATACCTTCAGTATTCAAAATTTTGAAAATAGATATACCATCAAACAGAGTAATAAGGGATGGGTGGGGACCGTGGGGTAATAAGGGAGAGTCTTCTGACATCTTGTAGAAATGTTGTAGCAGCTAAGCTAATTGAAATATTGCAAAACTAAAAATAGTGGCATAAGATCAACATTTTTCCTATCTATATAGCATAACGCTAGTTGAGAAATCATACATTTATTAATTACTGCCTCTACTCCTAACTCCTCTAGTGCTTTGGAAAATCCCTGAAAAAAGTGTAAAAAGTGAGATTTTGGGAAAGTATCTTGGCTAAGCTCTGTAGAAAAAAGAAATATTTGCTGCATTAAAATGTTTTACAGACATAAAAGTTGCACACAGACATTGGCTTAAAAACATGACTAACTAAATTTGCAGAGCTCATTTCAAAATAAAATGGCTGCAATTTCTGCATGATGGGGCAATAAGGGACACCTCCCCAGAGTAATATTAAGGGACACCCCTAAAAATGCATTTACAGTAGGTACAACCTTGGTTAGCAAAGGATCCAGTAATGAAAAAAATCAATTAATAACAAAGCATTTTGAATACATTTACCTTGCTCAGCAAAAAAATTTCACTTCACAAAAAATTAATGCATCTCAGTCATCACATAATTGTGCATAGAATGTCATGGATAGAATTGTGCACCAGGCAACATAGAATGAAATGTAATTAACCTAAACTATGATTTATTTCTCCAAATAGTACGATGGATTGATGGTTGTCACTAAAATATTCCTTTCTGTTTCAGATAGGTTTTTTACCACGTTTTTCTTAGCTCGCTTTCGTGTCCCTCTGTCTGTGATGATCAAATCTTGCCATCGATATTTCACCAACTTTCCCGCTAGCTAGTGCTCTGAAACTTTTAGGGAAGCTCAGCTACCGGTAACAATACAATAATCAATGATTTGTTGCACGTTTCCAGGCGTATTTTTACCGAACCTTTCTTTTTACAGCTATGCACCCAGATAAATACAGGAACAACAATGTATCCCCTCGAATACTATTTTCTTCAGAACTTTGAAAAGAATTTTCTTTTGTGCATTTGCATGGCCAACTGAAATGAAATGAATATTATGTAGGATGGTTGACCTTTGTGCACTAGTTATAAACTCTAAAGGAACTCACAAGCAGGGGTTGGGAACCTTTAATGCACGTCATCCTCGAGAGGATATTCGTCTTTAGACTGCGTATATTGATGATACGCTTCGTATCATCAATACGTACGTCGAGTCAAGTAAATTGGCTCGCAACAACGTTTTTCATGTGTAGCAATGGACTATAAAGGAGAAAATAAAATACTTAAAAAACTAAAAAGTAGAAAATAAAATGTATAAAAAAATTTTTAAAGACCACGTTTTTCATGTGGACTCAAAAGTAGAAAATAATTTTTCGGCAGCTACTGATCTCTGTTTGCTTTCATTCTTTTGGTCTTTTGTATTTCAGTTAAAATATTTTACAACATCTAAAACGAAAAACGTGGGGGCGCATATGTATTTAATTGTTTGGTGATTACTTGATATGATGAATATGATGGTTCATTGAAAATTTGATGTGTATGGCTAATATAATTCGAAATAGTGGTTGAATTCAAAATTGAAATTAAGGCATGCCTAAATGAAGATGCGCCCCACGTTTTTTGTTTTAGATGTTGTAAAATATTTTAACTGAAATACAAAAGACCAAGAGAATGAAAGCAAACAGAGATCAGTAGCTGCCGAAAAATTATTTTCTACTTTTGAGTACACATGAAAAACGTGATCTTTGAAAAATTTTTTTATACATTTTATTTACAATCTTTTTTTTTTGGCTATAGTGAATTCACTTGACTCAATTAAAATGGTGCAAAATTATAAGCCATCTCGTTAGCTTACAAATACAGAAGAAATTCTATACGGCTGCTGATATGAAGCTTGCAGTGGAGAGTGGACAAGGTTGTTGTCAATGCTCAATGGCATGTCCATTGATACAGTAGTATCACATCAGTAAAACAGTAATGTATGGATAATGTAATATATCAATAAAAAAAAAACAGAAAAAAACAGAAAATGTCATTCTACATCTACCATCATATATATATAACAGAAGAGGAGGACCACAGAGTACTGTTTTAATGGATTAGTACACTGCATGCTTCAAACATTTTAAAATTAAGTTTTATTTCAAGTGTCTCTTATTGCCTCATTCCCAGGGATATCTGGATAGGCTTTTATTTAGTGTTTGACACCTTATGAATATCATATGGAATTTTTTTGGAGATGCCATATGATAGCCCTCACAAAGACCTTTAAATGAGCCTAAGCTTGTTTACAAAATATATCATGCTGTGAAATTATTAACAAAAAATGCTCAAAACTTTTTCATATTACTTCATTTGACAGTACTTCATGAGTTATAATTGTTTATACTTTCTTATTCTGGTTTTGGAAATTTAAATTTTGCTCATTTCTATGCTTGCCTGCAGGCATGACTATATGCTGCAATGAGCTGTGACCATAGCTGTCATTCTTGTAGCTGCATGATTTGCACTAGATGAATTATCTCCCATCTAATGTGTTAAAAATGCAAAATTAAGCCTGGAAATTTCACTGTAATTGAAAGTGCATCATTTTGGAGTCACTAGATTTCAGTGGTAGGTAGAAATTTCCAGTCTTGCTTGTCTGCAAGTGGGTTAATTGCAAATTTAATGATTTCAGATGGCTTGTGTTGGGCTGGTGATAGGGCAGCTCAGAGGAGCTCATCTGTCCATCAGAGCGTCTGCTCCACTTCTGTCCACTGCAGTTACCCAACAGGTTTGTAATTCCAACTCGTCTTCTAATGAGCAGATGATTTTGCATAACTGGCCTGGAAAAGTTAAATTTAGGAACTGTCTTTTGTTACTAAGCTGAAATACTTTGCATGTCAGAGTTTATTTTATGAATAATTTGATTTTTCATGAGATTTTAACATATTTTTCTGAATTCAAGAGATAAAATATGTTCAATGTTTTAGTATTGAATAATGAAATGTCATAATTGAGAATTGCTGCATTGTGAAATGCTAATGGGAAATAAATCTATGGCTAGGCACTTGATAGAAATGCTTTCATGTTGTTCATATGCAACTAAGCTTATTGTCTTCTTATCGTGAGAAGGTATTTATATGTGACTGAGGGTGATTTTTCCCTCACAGATGCAGCATAAACGAGGCATTGTGGGCAAAGCATTGCGAGAGCCTGGCTACTCTCGTCCGGCTCCCTTCCCCTACAAGGAAAAGGAATACACCTTCTGGCGAGCATTGCTGGATGATACTACACAGCGCTTTGATGAAAATTCCAAGATCATTGTAGTTGATGGCCCACCCACTGGCAACAAGGACAAGTTTGCCAAGGTATGCTCTACCTGCATAGTTGACAGACGCATTGCAGCTGTTCTTGTTAGAGTCTAGTTGAAGGACTTGATTTATTGTGTGTGCTGGATGTTAGTTATGAACTTTCTCATTGTTGAGGGACATGAATGGTTTACAGGAGTGTTCAAGCTCTGATCTGTGGTGTACACTGTTAAAAAAATGAAAAAAAAACGGCAGGACTGGGGTTTTAGTTTTGGCAGCTCTGTGAAATTCGACCATGAAGGTTTGGGCTGTACATGCTAACTTCCAAAAAAAAAGGCAGCATGTAAATATTTCATGCTGTGGCCAGCTACCAAGAGGTCAATAAGATCGTTTTTAATTTTTTTTAAACAGTGTACCTTAATACGATGAATCCTTTTGGCCAGGATTGATTTGGATGTTATTTGTTTCAATGCAACATTTGTATTATGCAACTATACTTTTCTTAATTACAAATCATGGATCTTGTAATTTTAATTCTGAGTAAGATGTTGTAACTTGCAGGAGTTGGCCGATGAGCTCGACATGTTTTACATACCTGGTGCCAACATGGACTCAATTTATGTCAACGAGTACGGCTTTGATAGACGCACCATCAACCATAAGTTGCCTCAAATTTTCCATAGTGTTGACATTGAAGACTTTCTACGCAACCCAAACCGGCGCGCCACTACGCGACTGCAGTTCCACCTGATGAAAATAAGATTTACACAATATCAAGACGCTATTAATCATCTCTTGAACACTGGTATGTTACTTACTCGAAAAATTATTTGTCAATAAATAAATTATTATATATAATGAAAATACGATGTTTATGATAAAAGACTATTTTAATCACCATAAATTATTATATATAATGAAAATACGATGTTTATGATAAAAGACGATTTTAATCACCTTCTGAACACTAATTAGTTGATTACTTGAAACGTTTTTCCATATGTTATTTGTTTGACCAATGTGCCAATATTCAACATCTGCATATATGTGAGTATTGTAGTATTAAGTATTTCTTGGTGCTTTTATGTATATCGCATATCTTCCTGCCTCATGTGAACACTTGTCTGTATTACTTGATTGTTCTTTGTTCTAGCACTTTATGCTTTACTTAAACTGTGGAAGACTGCAAAATTTGCTAAGCGCCTTGTACTTTTTACAAAAATATTGATTATAAATCGTAACCAGAAAAAAAAACTTTTTGTGTTGAACATACTAACACATGTAAGCCCTCATAAAGAGTTCCTTTTTCCATGTTATTAGTTTTGTAATTCTCTTCAAGTTTTTTACCTTCTTCAGGCCAGGGCGTAGTTATGAACCGCTGCATCTACAGCGATCCAGTCTTCATGAACATGCTTGTTGACTGTGGCTTCTCCAATGCTAACGGTTGGTAGGAGCTGGTATATCCCGTCTTTTCAAGTGTGATCACTTCAATGGGCATAACATGAAAAAGCCTGTGCTTTTGTCCAGTTTTTGATTCGTATATCTTCATGGAACTTTGAAAATCTCATTGAAATTTCAGGAAATTTTTCTTTTTATGTGTGATTAGCAACATTTGTTTCAATTTTTCATAATTTTAGAAATTAAATAAATAGGTAATAAAAATTAAAAATGCATACCAATGTTAGAAAATTATTAAATATAACCTTAGAATAAAAAGAGAGTTGACCTTACTATTCAAATGCTGATAGTTAAATCTAAAAAGTTTTAATTTATTTTAGTTTTGCTTGCAGGTTATGTTTAACTAAGCCATTTGTAATTCAATAAAGATATTCAAATTTTAAGCGTGCTTTTTATTTATTTTTATAGGTGAAAATAGACAGGAATGTTCAATAATCAACATATGTCACAGGGAAACAACCCAACCCCTAACTGTCTTCCTGATGGTATAAATGTTTCGTCATTTTTAATAGGCAAACAGAAATTTGGTATGGCTGATCATATTTTGAATATTATTTTCTCTCTATTTGTTAGTATAAATTGATCTAAGGTAAGAATTTAGCTTGGTTTAGTTATGTTGACTTGTGTGCAGCTCGCGAGTACTACAACGAGTGCCTACAACAAGGTATGGTTGAGTACCTGCGGCCACATCTGCTCATTTATCTCGATATTCCCGTCGAGAAAATCATCGAGAACGTCAAGGCGCGCAACAGACCTGAAGAATTGAACTCCAAGGTCTACACGCCTGAAGTCCTCTCAACGCTTGAGCTGCATTACAAGAACCATCTGAGGAACATCAGGCATGATTATAGTACTGCTCGACGCTCACGCAGTGCAGTTATACTCTTGCTGTCAAACTATCAGTAATAATAATATTTAGTTCATTAAATCGCAATTGAGTTCGTTTTCATGCGGCACATAAAGCTCTCACAGCGCCTGGTATGGTGCTGCGTAAAGTTCTGGAGATGAGAAAAGGCACAGCATACCCTGAAATTTAGTGTTACTACAATCAATTTCCACTATGAAAGAATTCTAAGATAATGATTTTTGATGTTCATGCAAAGTCCCTAAAAGATTATATATATTAGAATGCATTCTGTCATTTGATCTTTTTGTCGTTGCGATTATTAACAACGGCCGCCGTTTTTTAATAGGAGATCTCGTTTTTTGGCGTTATCTTCAACCATGTCGGATCCATCAAAACCTCGTAGCCGGCAAAAAATAATTTGTTCATGATTATGAGAAGCTCTTCGAAAAGCAACTACGTCAGGCAAAAAGAGACATGCAGATGTTGATTGTTATTGATAATCACGTTTTGTCATGAATTGAAATGTTTACTTGCAGTGGTGAGTTTAAATTTTGTGTGGACATTAGGTCAAATAAAAGCCGAAAACTTTGTCAAATTTCGACGATATTTGCATTGTAACTCAATTCATGTTGTATTTTTTTGTTGAATATATCTTTCATTATTGAGTTGAATCTGTTTTGTTTTCAGTGAGCATTCAGAGGTGCTGATCTACGACTGGTCTGAAGAAGGCGATGCAGAAGTAGTAGTCGAGGACGTGTCTAGGATTGACTTTGACAAGTACACTCGCTACGATAAGAAATTGAAGGACTGGCGCTTCCGTGATGAGTGGGCCTGGAAAGAAAAAAGAATAAAGTAAGTTATCCTATGCGTTTGCGTTGCACGCTCTTTTTTAACTCGACTCAATGTTACATTATTTTTTAAATTAATCTTATTTCCCTCCATGAACAATTAAAAACTGTCCTGCTACTCTCTAACTCATTAGTTTAAAAATAATTAATCACAAAATTTTTATGTACGTTATACTCATCGATAGTTCGTACTATCGATGCTAGGTTTTCGTTCATAGAATGCTAGGTTTCAATTCTTCCTCAGATTTGATTTTGATGTGATGGCAATCAAGAACGAGAGGTTTCTTCCTCTCCGATTGTACTATTGATTGATTTAAAAAAGACCTATATTGCTTATCCTAAGCTTTATCCCCATGTGACCACAACAAATTTATGGTATGATCAGTAAACCTTATGTTGGTTGAGACTGGTTGTCTAGCATGGTTGACGTTAGCATTAGCGAATGCATGTCATCTAGGCCATATTGTTGAATTGAACATTTTTCTATTAATGACAGCTAATGTTTCAGGTCTTCAGATACGAATAGCATTGAGTGCTGTTAATTTATCGGTAGACAAAAGGTTGAAGTTAGGATTTGCATGTGCGCGTATGTTACAGGTTCAGCTGCATGCGCTACAAGTTTGAGCGCTGGCTCAACGTTCCCAAGCTCACGGTACCAGAAATTGTGGCGAATGGCGAGGAAAGACTTGATTTCGATCATATTATGGCACAGGTGGGGAAGTTCATTTAAATTGTCCAATGATTAGCCGTACAATGCAATGGATCTCAAAATACTCCATTGCGAAGATGATATTCTTGTCTCATGAGGTATATTTCACTATGTTTAGGATGGATGTAATCTTTAATAATTTTAACAGGTATACTTCTTTCTTCGGGCAAAAATATTTTAGCATTATAGGGGAATTGCTGATTTTTATCGTGCAATAAGAGATGTGTGGTAAAATTTCATAATTCTACAAAATTTGTAGCATTATGAAAATAACAGCATACCGTATCATCAGCATTAAACTAGCTTACCGAGGTCCTATTGAAACTAGTGCAGGTGTGTATATGTGCACCGTCATATGTGGTTATACTAATTTGTTCCGCAAAGATGTGCCTTTATGTGATGTGTTATCGTATTTTGGTTACTCGGTATGACACGCCGGAACGCATTCACTGGTCATCGCCTCCTAATTCAAGAATTTTCTCTTGCAGACGCCAGGCAACAAGTATGCAAAAGGATTCAACCCGGACATGGGAGACAAAGTTCTTTTCAAGCTCTAACTATGCAGGCTTCGCTGTATCCTGAACACTAATGAAAATATGTAACGAAAACTTCTTATTAATATATCATTCAAAAATATAAAGTAGTAATTGATTGAGCGAATTTTGTGGGTCAAAGTTATACATCGCAATCAAATATACCTGTACAGATTAATTGTTGGTATGATTTTTCCATTTAAATGATCTGACACTTGTCTGCAACGTCAATATTGCCTAGCCCTTTTACAATGAAAATAGACAAAAACAAAAATTGGCAATGTACAAAATTACGAGTCTAGTGCTAGTTTTCTCTTCCTACGGCCTATCGGTGTTCCTCGCATATGATTTTTTCACATTATTTAGTCGCAATGTAGGAGAATTTTTATGACCTTGATAAATTATTAGGATTTTCGAATTTTTCTTCGTGAAAGTTCAAGATATGAAAATTGCTTGAGAATTATTTCAACGTGTTATGTTTGAAAGGCATCTAGCATAGTGGTATCTGCGTTTAAGAATAAGCTAAGTTTTGCCTATAGCTGATACTTGTAATGTTCTTTGTCTCCTAGAAATCTTATATCAGCCTATTGATCAGCTGCAAATCAATTTCAAACTGATGTCGAAGCCAATTAGCTGCTGAGCATTCACCAGTTTGTGGGATGGGGGCAATTCTAGTTGAAGCATATACATAGAGATAGATTATCTATTTTTTAACCCATTCATACACAGTGCGTGAACGATGTCGAAGGGGAGTCTTTAGTTTGACCCTCAATTTCTATTCATATGACCGTCAAATTCTTTTCTAGCATGTTCATAACTATTCAACTATCGGCGACTCCTTTTTTGTAATTACTCATGATATACATTATTATCAAATAATAAACAATATATTGGAACTTTTATTTTTTATGTCAAATAACTTTTAATCAAATTGTTGCACTTCTGTAAGTTTTCATTTCCGCATTTTTCCTTAGAGTTTATATACATTACCGAAGAGAGGCGGATGTGTTGGTTAGTCATAGCTGTCACTGTTCGGAGCCATGGTTTTAAAATTAAAAGTGAATAAAAATCTTTGGCGCTCGAATTCCTTACACTCATAAGTATGAGGTGTAGCATAGATTTACATTCGGTACGTGGGGATATTTTATTAAATGATTTAAGAAGGTTAATAAAGTATTTTATCATTTTTATGTACCTAGCTATGCTCTGCCGCCTTCATCTTGGAGCTTGGACAGTTGGACAGACTTGGACTGTCTTGTCTTGGAGAACGTAGGCTTGCCACTTGGACCCGCTTTACCTAATTATGGCTATAGGCTTAGGCTAAGTTAACCAGTTACCAGTAAGCATCTTAATTCTTGGTCTTGGATACTACCATCATACCAGCATTATCATACCTGCAAAGCAGAGAGTTTTTTAGACTCTCCCTCAAGTTCATTTTTGAGCCCTATAAGTAGACCAGTAAAGTATCCCTAGTATGGAATATATCTACTTTGCGAGCCGCGACTGAATTTTTCGAGCCGTGGTTTTATGGATTTGCCAGCCGTGATTCCATTTGGTAAAGCAATGCGGATTGCGGAAGTTGAAAATTTTATGAAATGACATGTTTGCGAAGTGCAAACCGCGATTTTTTAATCAAACAAAAATTTATGACATTCGAGCCGCGAGCGCGAGATTTCATACCTACTGAAATTATATGATATTAGAGCCGCAATATTTCAGACAAAAATAGGACTTTTCCAGACTAGAAGTATCCTGGATACCAGCATCATAGTGACAAAGCAGAGAGTTTTTTTAGACTCTCCCTCAAGTTCATCTTTGAGTCTTATAAGTAGAATAATAAAGTATCATGGATACCAGCATTATCATACTTAAGAAATTGGTTTAAATCTTGAGTTATTGAGGAAATTAAAAATGAACTGATTCCAAAAAAGCTCTGGTTTGCCACTATGACCAGCATTATCATACATAAGAAATTGGTTTAAATCTTGGGTAAATGAGGAAATTAAAAATGAATTGATTCTAAAAGATCTCTGGTTTGTCACTATGACCTACATAAATAATTGATTTAAATCTTGAGGTGATGAGGAAATTAAAAATTCTAAAAAATTCGGTACCTAGGTAGGCTAGGTATGTCAATGTCATTTGTGCGCATGAAAAAAATTTCCTCTGATCTTAATAAAAATTATACAGTTGAAAAGAGAAAAAAAAATTGAAGAAATGCCATATAAATATAGGCTAGCCTAAGTGGAATATGAATAAAATGAAAAAGCTAGGGTAAACACACCATAGGTACCATAAAATGGGGGATTGGGGGGTAACTTTGACCACTTTTTTATTTCAAAACAATGCCATTTTTTTACTAGATAAGTTAAACTTAAATTGAAACATGCGAACTACAGGTCTATAGTCTATACAGTAAACTCAAGCTTTACTCACCAGTCACCATAAATTGCTGGCTCCTGCCTCTCATAGTTTTGATGTAATTTAAAAAAAAGGGATGGTCTTTGTTACCCCAGCTCTTAGGGTTTCTTTGACCAGGTGGTAAAATCAATTTTATTTTTTGGTAAAATAACTCCAAATAACTCCAGGTTGTGGTGCATTATAGTAGAACTCTTCTAGTTACATATGCAAAAGACAGATTTTAGGAAAGTATTAGGGTAAACGCGGTATATTCCGACATCGTAGGTAATTCTGTCACCTTTCCAGCTTTTCCTTTATATTAAGCTTTGTTTTAGTTCCATGCGTTCATTGATGGTTGAAATGGTGACGTCATACATTTGCGTGTCGAAATACTGCAAAAACACTACCGTCAATGCCACTAAAGTCGCCACCTCACTAAAGTCGCCATGCTACAGGGAAAAGGAAATATTTATTGAAATGGACCCAATACGAGCATTTCATTACCATAGGAAAATACTAGAACATTTATTAACATTGCTTAAAGATATTATAATGCATTTTCGACACTTAATTTGTAATTAGTTTTGATATTCCAAATCAACATGACGAAAATACTGCAAGCGACACGAATTTTTTCCTTCTCCTGTCTGTACCGCATTTGGGCGATGCTCTATTGCAGAGAAAATGTTTTCCGTACAAGCTCGGGGTCATTCCGAGCTGAAACGCAATAAAAAGAAGTTCATATTGCTTATACTTCAAATTTTAAAGACACTTTAATATAGTCATTAATTTATTCTAAATATACCTGGCAACTTAAGTGCATATAAATTTGGGATAAATGGTGAGGTTTGTGTAGGATATTTGCTTCATGAGGCAGGGCATGAAGGATAATTTTTGTTGCTAATTTATACTAACAATGTAATGGCAGTGTCAGAGTGTTGCCAAAAATAATTCAAGAATCGTTGCCCATTTATGTTCTTTCCCACAGAATTAGCTATTAGTTTTTAAAAACGTTGTACAATGACTTCAAAAGTCGCGCACGACACTCTTGCATCGATCGGAGTTACGCGAACGAAGTGAATAGCGCTGCAGTGAAGTGTCTGAGCTCGTTTGAATAAGCATGACACGAGTTGACTTTCTTACACATAATCTTAATAAGTTAAACTACCTCGTTAAATCTCATAAAATGAAGAGATTAAAACAAATAAAAGCAATTTCAAGCACTTAATTAAACTTTACAGGATAAAACTCACGTCGGATGATAAATATTTACATACGTTATTTTGTGTGATCAAAACGAACCGTACATGCATTTGTTCAAGTATGTTGATACAATTATTTTTTACCGTTCAAGAAAATTTCATGATAAGGAACAAAACTAAGATTGTGGAGGCAGAAGACATGGATAGGGCTCTTGCAGCCGGCCCGCTGAGATTAGAATCTTCCCGCGTTAGCCGCTGCCCGTACGTTCAATGTGCCACGCAAGACTTTTGCAGATCGCCTCTCAATGAGTCATGGGAAGACTGTACTGGCAAACCAACAGCGTTGTCAGCAGAGCATGAGCTGTCGCTCTGTAATTACATTGAGTATGTGACAAATAGAGGTTTTCCTATGACCGTGGCCCAAATTTCAATGTTTGCCTTGGTGCATTGATCGTAGATCCAAGAGACTCTTTTGGAGAGAGGCCTCGCTACCGACGCTACGTATGGGGGTTTAAGTTTAGTTCCAGAAAGCCTGAGTCGGTCAAACATCGGAAAGCCGAATGCTTAGATCACGGCCGAGAAATTTTTTCAACAAATGAAAATTGGATTGATTCTTTACGATTGCTGCGAGATGCTCGTGAACGTGATAACGTTAGTGAACGTCCCCATGACATGGTGGTGGACCTCAACAAGTCCTCGCAGAATGTTGTCTTGCCTCGGCGAGTGAAGAATTCCCATTCTCAGCAGGTGACATTACAATAACACAGAAGCATCGATTGCTGCGTTTCACCGTACCGCGTTGCAATGGCTCCAATGATCATTTTTAAAGCCACATTTCCAGAAGGCAACTAATTAAGCTACTGAGGTGTCTCCGACAAAGCTTTGGACGGCAAACAAGCCACTGTCTCCATTGATTGTGAACTTGTCCTACGGTGGCTCACGTTACGATTTTTGCCCAGCCATCAACAGATGAACCAAGAATTCTGCTGCTCGATAGTCACGCCTTGCATTGCTCCTGTAGATATTGCCTATGTCAGGCAGAACAACTTGACATTTCTACAGCGTCAATGCCTATACCTATATATCCACAAAATATTAGCGATATATATCACAGCTTGTAACTTACAAGGAAATGCATGAGAACTGAAGGTGCGCGTCGTGCATGCAGTCATTGACGGACACAAAGTCTTTTAACGCTTATAGTCTTATTATTCTTTCATCGATATTCCTTCTTCTGTCATGGCCGGTGTAAAATAAAATATGTATAAATATATGGAGAAAATATAACAATATTTTACCATGATCTATTTCAGTATCAATGGCTGGAGCTATATAGGTGTCTGTGACGGTTGATATAGTAATATATAGCGATTTCAGTGTTCATTAGGACATTCTACCCATCACCGATTCTTAGCATTGCAGAATTTTCACAGCTTGTTGCGGTTTCGAACACGCACCTCAGTGCTCTAATTTTCCCGTGCTTTACCGCCCGGCCTTCTCGCTGATTTGACCAGAACTGTAGCATGGTAGCTGGGATCAAACCCGCACCTTACTGCTCCAGTCATGCTATTCTGAA